TAGAGTAGGATAGTGTTCAGTGATATTTAAAATGTCCAATATTCATTTAACGAATTATTAAACTGTAAAGTTAGTTCCAAATGTATTGTAACCAAACAATAGACTTTCTATAAATTTCATGGAGTATTGAAGCAGAATTCCGTCGTGTCAGACCTTGCACCATGAACCTGATCACCATGATCAACTTTCTCAATGGCATTGTTCCGAAGAAAAATCAATAGGTCACCTACATATTCATAGACAGCACAGACGATATTATTATAAGGTTGCTTTATTTTTTAAGAAGTAAAGAAATATTAATTAGGTACATCGTCTTTCATTATAATCTTTATTATAGAAACCACGAATTTTAGATATAGGTTTTAGGGTCGACGTATCACCATTGATATTTTTATATGTCTATTTTTAACTGAGACTATTCAATATGTTTTTAGACATAATTGCGGAATCTAAACCTTACTGCTGAACGCGGTTTTGACCGTTTTGAATAACTTGTTCAATTTCATTAACCATTATAACTTGAACTGCTAATTTAAAGACTTCTTAACCGTGACAGGTCAAAGGCTTTTGCTTAGCAAATGCGTAAAAAGTACTGTTCAAACGTATTAATATATAGACAATATTTTTTTATTTGCATCCAATTCTTAGTCATCCTTGCCTTGTTATTTCTATAACAGGTCCACATTAGAAGAACCGAGATACGGTTTACAGTAATTTAATTTTTTTACAGTAGCTACATAGTTTTGACCTCTAAATATCAGCTAAAGATAAAGATTAGTTTGTTTAGTTTACACAAAGATCAGGGATACAAGGGTAATTTAAACACTTATTATTTTTTACGCTTTTAGGTATTGCGCATGAGAAGCATAACGTAATACTCTCCCAATTAGTTTTCGACTCAAAAGCCTCTTCGACATTTACAAATGAACTGATAATTTCTAATCAGATAATCTCATTTTCTTAAAATATGAGTAAGAACAAGACATCAAGTCATTTTTCAAAGTAGAAAAATAAAATCAGAATCGGTTTATCCGGCAAGGAGCTACAATACAACAAAGAGATTACATAGATGCACAGATACACAGATTTAATTCCCTCCATTTTGCAATAAAACACACTTCAAACAAAAATTTCAGACATTATTGAGATTAACGTCAATGAATCATACGTAGAAATGCCTCCATATACCAAATTCCATATGAAATAATTCGTGACTGTTGAAATAATATATAATTGAATTAGATGAAGGAACAATATCAGTGGGTAGACACCATTTCATTATAACAATTGACATACCCTTGACTTGAGTCACGAATGTCCTTATTACTGTATCTAATGTGTGGTCTGTAACTATAGCTGCGAAGACAATCTAATAATAGGACGACTTGCGTCTTATCTATGTAATATAAAGAATCAGGTAATGAGACAAACTTGGTCTAAAACGTTGATAATTTAACCACACCATGTTGTTATAGTAGACTACAGATTGACACTAGTATATAGATAGTTAGGCAATTTATGTTAACCTTTTTATTTATTACTTTAATGGAACGTCAAATTCGGCCTTAGTTCAAAAATCTTAATAATTTTAAAGCACTTAGATGATGGACGACAACTAAGATATAGACGGGAAGAACTCTTCTGCACCTAATGATTGAGTCATGATGTTCAACAAAGACCAAAGTTTTCGAAAGCTTTCGAGGATTTCGTGTTTTAGTCTAACACACATTTTCACCTCTAGCTACTTTACTGTAATAAAAATGAAAAATCTTTGTAAGTGTATCCATTTGAAATGTAATAATCAAAATTCTTAAAAAATATGTTCTAAATTTAAATGTAGTCAAACAAACTATGTAAACTTATCAAGTAAGATGCGCAAATTTAGAACGCGAATGCAATACACCAATCAAAAGGTAGGGCGGCATGCATGCGCGAGAAATGAAACAGAAGTCGGTGATTGGGCACGCGTAAGCGCAAGGTCGCCGCTCACCGCGCAACAACTCACTACGAGACTAGTTCGACGACCGATTTGTTATTAGACACAGTTAGCAACTTGTTAATTGAAAATCTTTTTATGAAATACAGTGTACTTAGTGTGTACCTTATTTGGAAGGAGATAAGGTTCAATGGAAAACTAAAGACTTTAAAGTGTTCAATATATTAAATACTCAGAAGTTGATCACAAGGGTAAAATAAAAAAGTACTGAATTACACGTTTATAGGATTCTAACATGTTATTTAATAGACGATTTTTATTGTAGCGTGTTTCTATATGTTTATATACATAATAGCTGTACCCTGTCACGCTTTGCTGTGGCACATTGTGGTTGTATTGATGAGAAATTAGGAACAACACTGACGCGAAAAATATGTAGTTAAAACAATCGTTGAAGCGGGTTGCATATCGTGATAAAATTTGAGTTCAATTGGTGTAGAACTTTTTAAAGCGTACACAAACCATCTTAATATTTATATAAATAGTAAACACGAACATAAACTTGCCAACTTCTAATTATTAAGATAAATGAACCCATGACCATCACACATTTAAGATGAATTAAGGATTAAGATTTAAACTCGCATATTGATACACTAAATAATAGTAGGGATAGCCTGCCAGTTGAATTTGTACCATTTTGTGTTTGTTTTTTTTTTTCATTGGCCAGTTATAACTTGAACTTTAATAATCTTTAAGAATTTCGAATTCCCTTCCTTCTCTGGCGAGTTTGCTAAAAAAAAGTATACAGAATTTTCCTAATAAATTCTTTTAATATATTTTCTATTTTTTTAAAAAGACAACTCCCGCATTAGGAATATATCCTGTGTCGCGGGGGACTTTACAAACATACATGAAACGGACACAAAGAACACCCAGACTCAGAACAACAATTTGTGGATCACACAAAGTGACGTCCCATGTGGGGTTTGAACCCACAACACTCGGCGCAGTAGGAAGTGGCGTGGCGACCGCTTATACCACTACGCCATCTGTGCAGTCAAATATATTAGTATTATATAATTAGTATAATATATATAACTCAGCAATATAACTTGACCCACATAGCTTTTCTCAAAGCACGCACTGCCGCAAAGGTCAAATAAAGTATAAGTTTATTGAATAATACTATAATATTATGGTACGTTGCCTGTCATTGTGTGGTCATTATAACTTAGTCACTGTACACAATGTCACTACAAAGGCCGTGAGTGTAAAAAAAACAAAGTTAAAAAACCATAACAATAAATTAATAAAAAAGTATAACAAATCGTGACTTCATGCACGCAGTGTATATTATAAAAGTATTAAAGTAAGCAACTCAATATACGAAACCAACGTAGCAAGGTCCAAAGAAGTACCTTAATACATGTCTATTATTTCTTTAGCAGCCACATGCAGAAGCGGTCAAAGACATCGCCATCTTTCACTTTCCGCGTCAAATAACAGAATATAAATTCTTGATGCAAATACTTTCGTCACTATCGTTCAAACTACCATCAAACTTAATAGTTTCTCCCATTGAATCGAATATAATATATACAAAGTACCAAAAGGATCAAATAGAAATTCTCAATCAGTAAACAAAGCCAGACCTTGACGACTAAGTTGAATATCAATGAACAACCAATGTGGGCATTCTCAGGGCAATACCAACGAACGGTTTTGAGAAAACGATATTCCGATACAACGTTACCGAAATACAAATGAAGTACAAATTCCTATGCCGTCATTATACAATACGATACATGAGAACTTTTGGTTTATAATGACAGTGAACTAGATTTGAAAATCAAGAACAAACAGACACGTACATTATTTATTCATCGATGTACACATAACTGTAATAAGAGTAATTGTTGCAGCTCAACACATTCATATGTAAAATGCAAATGTGACATAATATATATATCTTAATGGTGGACTGCGATAGGCTAATGATGAAGACGAAATATGTCTTAAAATATATAATTCTTCTGAACATGTATTTGTAACCTAACTCCTAAACGATTTAGATGAAATTTAGTGTGTATAATGGGATCCTGGATAGTTTAAAAACACAATTAGACCCGGTAGGTGGCGCTGCTGTCGGTATGTCACCTAATTTAAACATAAAATTTATTAATTCTAAGACGATACGAAGTTCGCTAGGTCAGCGGTCAGCGGTTACATACATATTTATGGTGGCCTCTACAGTGTAAATAAATAGTAAATTATGTATAACAATAATATGACACAAAAAGAACTTTAAAATATCAAGAAAAATAACTAAAACGTTCAGATAACTTTGTAAAAATGCAACACTACCAGGTCCACCAAAGGTTTCTAAGGCATTTTATACCCAACTTCCCTATATTCGTTTCGGTATTTGTTTTAATATCAGTTTGGCATACTAACTATGATAATACAACACACTAACGGTATACAAATGTAATAGATAATACTAGAACAAGCTTTAAAAAGGTAGTTACTTTTATAAACAAACTGCGAGTTTTTTAAATCTTTCTACCGTAGAATTACCACACTGAATAACGATATTAAAACATGTAAATTGCTTGTGGTCGCCAGAGCTGATAAACATTGCAATGTTGTTTATTACCGTTTGTGTTTTTCACATTCTATGTTATTCTAACTACGATTGGCAAAGTTCCAACTATGCAAAAATCATCACAACAAAAAATATGGTCTACGTCTTCTGAATACAAATTATTTTACTTTGTCCTAACAAAGTTAAATCATTGGGTTTGTGCATTCATGTCAGCTAAAATCTTAAAGTGTTAAATCCCAATTATTTTTCTTAATATTTGATTTTTATATCGAACATCGCCTTTTCTCAACCGTACTCCGTATCTCTTTTTCTTTGTCTTCTGTCGTTAGAAGAAGACTATGAAGAAGAACACGTTCTATAAAACTCTTAAGAAAGGGCCATTGATAAGCATAATTGTATACTGTAAATAAAATTGTTGTTATGAAATTCACTAATGTTGTATTTTTTTCTTTTCAGAATTGGTCTTTGTGGATTTGATAACCCACACCGAGATCAGAAAACAGAGGAAGTCAGAAGGCACATAGGACAAGTAAGTTAAATTATTTAGTTTTGGTAACATACCGAGTCTAAGGTTTGACAGGAAGACCCGACGAGTGATGTTATAAGATATTATTAGTTATAGACAATACCTTTATGAAATAATAGTTTTTGCTGATATTTTTTTCCAATTTGCAGTGCCGTATAATTACATAAATTCAATAGTATGAGTTATTTAAACAAAATGCTAATAATGATTTTACATTTTCGTATTTAAAAATGATAGATTGAAATTTCCCAACACTAAACATACTTTTTATATTGTTTTTAAGTTCCTATAAATAGAAGTAGAAATTATATAATTTAAAAGATAGCCAAAATATAAATATATTTTGGAACCCGTATCATCACATCATCATCAAAAGTTTTTAATAGTCCTCTGCTGGACATAGGCCTCTACTTAGAACGGAGACTTTGGTCTAATATACCACGCTGTCTGTCTGATAGGAAGAGAAGGTTTTGAAACCATCTCATCATCACCATCAAAACTTATATATTTAATTTGGTATTACAAACTTGACTCTATGGTATTTTTACGATAGATGTCCCAAATCATAAAATTGCTTTATTTATTAGTGTTTCATAAATCTTAAATAAAACATAACTATGTATGTATTTATAGTAAATATTGATCACCGTGAGACTATTACTAATGATGTAGACACAGATTACACTGATATACACATATCTGATGAATGCTGACACACATACTAAAAACTTTGATGAGTTCACGACCGAACGAGCAAATACAGAAACAACTTCGCAATTTAAGCCTAACGAATCCGACGTGTTAGCAAACAAATGGGATGACGTAATTGATAGAGGAGGGAATGGTCTGCTCACCTCTATTTCGGCCACAGTTACTTCAATATAGTAACTTAAATACTTTGTTTAGGGGACTTCTATAAACACCGATACTGCAAATACCTACAACAAAATTGCTTGTCAGAAACCTACGTTCTACGTACGTCAGCCGTCATGCCTTTCAAATCAGAATTAAATTCCAAAAAAAAGTCATAAACAAATTAAATCAACACGTAAAACATAATAAAGGAAGTGTTGGTAAACAAGAATGTAACACGAAATTCAATATGTACTCGCCAAAACCGTGATGGAAAATAAAAAATAACAGAACAATAGGATTGAAAACTTTTAAATGCTAATGAGATGTGGTATAAGCTGTCAGACACAAGGCTAATACCGAGATGTTCAAACGTAAGACTTTGTTTTTTTTAATGTCTATCTCTAAAACTTAACTCAAACATGGTTCCGTATTGTGAAAAATATAAATAATGTTGGACACGTGTAACATGTCCTGTCCATGATTATTCATCTCTATCTAGACCTAAATTAATTTCATTTTAATGCTAATAACTTCGTCGGGGTGGTTTTCCGTGAAATCACCATATACTCCTGGCTCCTGAGTCCCCGAGGACCAATAGATCCGAAGGAATTTTCCACCCAGTCATACAAAAAAAAACATATATAACCCACATTGATCCCAAACTAGGCAGAGCCTTGCACTATTGTAACCAGAATGTTAATTTACATATTTTTTTCTCGATTTTCACCAAAACACGGGGAGGATCGAATGCATCACCATTCAGTATCAGTAAACACTACACTAAACTCTTGGCATGGAAAATACTTAATTGGCAAGCCGTAACTCCACACGGCCGTCTAAAAACATAGTCCGGCCAAACTTGGCAGACTCTGTTTTATGGTAACCAGACTGCTGATAAATATTCCTACTAATAATACTGCTGGTAAATTTTATTGGTTTAAGCGATCACCTCGCCGCTTCCTACTTCGCTAAGTGTTGTGGGTTCGATCCCCACATGGGACATCACTTTGTGTGATCCACAAATTTTTGTTCTGAGTCTGGGTGTTCTTTGTGTCCGTTTCATGTATATTTGTAAAGTCCCCCACGACACAGGATATATTCCTAATGCGGGAGTGGTCTTAAAAAAACATACTCATAAATTCCTCAATACATATGTATATACATAGTATTGGTGAATAATACCCAGACACAGAACAAATCCTCGTGATCATCACACATTTATTTATTCTGAGTGGGAATCGAACCCACGATCTCCAGATTAGCAGTCAGTTTCACTAACCACTAGACTAACAGGCCTGCCAATTTGAACTCCAGAATAAATTCAATTTCATTTGTTTGTATAAATTACAAGGAATAAATTACATTGCAATAAAATTGAACTCAAAATAATAACAATGATTGTCTTTAGTGCGATTGATTATACTCACAGCATGGAATGTAATAAACATGAGTAAGGCCAGAAGCTTAATGAGAAAAATGATCAGCAACTTTATTACCCATATCTAACATGTTCTTGAAACAAATGATTCTGTGAGGTCAGAGTCTGATCTGTGAGTATCCGGCCTAATATAGCTTCCAATCAAGCACGAATTCGTTACAGTGTGTCTTGGTTGGGAGGTGAATGTTCCACTCTTATTATCCTAAAAGAACATGTTTTTCAAATCAAATGTATAGCATAATAATAGGGATCCAGACATTTCTTGTTTTGTAAATTGGGTTTGGTAATTTTTTATTTAATTTAACTCTTGTGACAGTGATCCCGAAGATGATGATGAGAAAGTACCTAAGTACTTTCTCCAAAATTTAATGGCCTTATTGAGTCAACACAGAGGTTTGTGTTTTTTAAATGTCAATCAAAAACAATCTTAAACTATTCCATATTAGAACTCAGTTAACTACTAAACTAAGTCGCTTTTTAACTGTTTTGTAATATAGAATTACATAGATTCCCGATCCTCAAAGTTTATACTACCACTAGAACATACTTAAGGTAGTAAGTAAAGCAGATATCTATTAAAAAATGGTTGATTTTTTTCTTAGTAATCTAATGGAATAAATTATCCAAGAGCTACTAGACCGACGGAATTAAATTCCAACATGCGACAATTATACATGCGTTTTAGCAAACTACATGCAACTTCCACTACCGGTCTTCTACTACTAAATTACTAATGAGGCGTTGGTGTACCTCTTCGTTGAATATGTGGATGAAGGCAACATGTTAGACAATAGTAAAATGAATTTACATAGTTTCATGTGGTAGATGAAACTTCAATTATTATGAAGTGTAAACGCTTTTTGAAAATTCATCATATTTAATGGAATCAGATGTATACAACTAGGGGAGCTATCAATTTAAACAAAGTCATAATTACTGATAATATTTACTAAAATAATCTTAATAACAATAAACTTATAACGTTTCATTTACTAAAGGAGCAATAGTTACCTGCCGCCACATAAGTCTTTCTAAGGAGAGGCCTATGTCCAGCAGTGGACTGTTATAGGCTGTTGATGTGAAGTCCACATAGCAACTGCAATAATAACATCGTCGTTACACTTGCATAGACAAATAATAAATAAATATTATATAAATAAATAGGTACGTCAAATAAGAATAATTCCAAAGAGATAACTTCACTAGACAAGGAAGCTAGTAACTCATTACGTATTCGTTAAGATCGTATCGCTCCAATGTGACACTTGTTCATATAGAACATTTGCTTTCCATATTACAAGGTTGCTAACGAATTGACTTACGTTAGAAAACAAAATTTTATGAGGACCTTATTTTTCCTATTACATCATAATTCTTGCTTTGAAAATCTGGAACTACTGTGTCAAGAAACCAATGTTTTTTTATGTAGACGTATCTACAGCTCCAAAGATCTCGGTTTGAATATGCCTATGAGTTAGTACGAAATTCAATTTATGCATGAGTTAAATGAATCACATGCATTCTACGCCAATTGGAACCATAAAATAATAAACATATTTACTGCCATAAAAAAGATCTATGCCATTGTCAAAAAACCTCTGTGGGGCAGTGGCAACTGGCTTCATCTCCACGTTGCCGAGTCTCAGTTTCGATTCATGTCCTAGAACCCATAATACAAGCTTTGCTTCAACTGAGTCTAGATAGCGTTGTACACATAGCTATATGTTCCAGGATATTATTACATACATTATTATCTATGACATAGATGAATGAATTTTTGTTTTTATTAATACCAGACATCTCTTAGAATACCTTGTAGCACTTCAATATTCTCACACTCCAGGTCAAAGAATGAATATAGGTGAAATATATTACAGTCAAATTCGTTTTGCCTTCCGCGTATTTGATTAATACGAATATATACAATGGTATGACATGAGCTACAGGTGGAGCTGTGATGTCATAGGTCAGAACTATACCAACACGAACGGTCGAACACCTCCGTCTTGTCATAAATCATAATAGTTTGTACGTTGATGTAGAAACTATAGCGTTCGATGGTATTAGTCTTGTTGATTTAGAGAAGGGCATAGGTTGTAATGAAAATCGAGTAAAAAATATATTAACATTTGATTGAATGATTGAGTTTTAGCTGTCAATAGTTTCAAAGACTAGTTCAAGTTTATTTTTCAATTAGCTATTGAACTGCAGACAAATTATCCATTATTATCATCTTTTTGCTATACTCCCAATTTTATTTTGGGGTTGGCGAAAAGTATAACATTGCAAGAGTTTCTCTTATTGTCGACTGCCTGATGACAATTCTAAGGGATACTTTGATTTGGAAATTAGAATGAGGTTGTAATAGTTCGAGGTGTTATATTCATATGTATCTATTTTCGCGTTTTTTTTTATTTTGACATTAATATATTGCTATGTTTATGTGTTTAAAATTAAAATTTAAATGTTATAAAAATAGCGAAGTACGACGTCACAAATCACTATTTCTCATTATTTTCTATAGAAGCCAACATTTTCATCTTCTGCCTATTGGTCCTGTCTTTTTTTATTAGACCTATTTATTTTCTATAAGTTTCTGCGACACATTACTTAGCTATAGCTTTTTAAGCATCCCGCTGATATAATCTCTCTATGTCGCTCACAGAGCAACATCCGTCTTCAAAGGTCTCGAAGGTGATATAAGAAGAGTTGTAAGAAGATAATTTATGTTAATAAAGGTATTGTTGTTGTACACATATTCACTGTTCATTATGCTAAAAGATTCGATAAGAAGATCACCTTCGGTAACTTTTTTTTTGCGTACAAACGGTATTCATAAGTATTATAAATAGGTATTTCTTATGACCTCATTTACAGACATCTATACACCTTATAGGTGAGCAATTGCAGATACATAAAACCATTTCAACAATACAAGTAATGGTATTTTTCATTTTTGTTGGCTATCTATTCCCCTGAATGCTTATCGCTAGTTTAGCAAATAAACACACAATATTATCATTTATAGGCCAGTATTACTGTGTTCGAGAGAGTGCAAGTGTCTTCCAGAGACCATCACTATCTTCGATAGAGTACTACGGTTTTTCAGAGAGATTTTTTCCTTGCTCCAAAAGTTTGATGTTTAAAAAAATATATTTTTTAATCTAACAGATAGAACAAGCTTGCTCCAGTTTATGTCGGTACCTACTATTATTTAGGTGTTCTCACACTCCATTTTGGCAAATAAACCACAAAAGTAAACCATACTATTATTTTTAATGATCATCACGTTGAAACCTTGATACCATTCCATTAAAATCTCATAAATGATATTTTACGTACAACAGAATTTTAAGACCTGTCATTTTGTAATGAAAGACTTTATTGCAACATATCTTGGGTATATTTTATGTTATAATGTTAAATTAATGAGCTTAGTATTCGGTTAATATTTGAAAATCACTGAATGATTTCTTGACAAAATTGAGATTAAAGGCATTCGTTTATGAATGGTGTTGTTTCTACCGTTCTCTGGCGTAGTTGAAGATTTATAAACAAACAAACAATTATATTTTACAAACAGTACTTCATACTAACTAAAAACTTCATTTAGGTTCAAAGGAAAAATAAATTAAGACAAAAGGTAAAGCAGTTAATGTGTGAAAGCGTAACAAACAAACGAACTCATTCATATTCAGTACCAGCTGTTGCCTAAGTTTATGCTGTCGATTCCCACCCAGGAAAAATAATTGTGTGATGATCACAATCATTTTTTTAGTGTCAGGGTTTATTATATCTATAATATGTTTGTATTTAGAAATATATAAGTATGTTTATCAACAGTCCGGCTACCGTAGTGCAGGCTCTGCTTAGTTTGGGACCAGACGGCCGCGTGTGAGATATCTGGGGTCATTATTATTATCCATAGGGTATTTATTTTTTACCCCCTGTGAGATGTATGATAAATTTCCATGGTGAATACATTCGGTAGTGAAGACAACAAAGTAAACAATGAATTCACTCACTCATTTATGATATTAGTTTGAATTAAAGAAGGTAATGTCAGCCGTGAAAGCGCTGTTGGAAAAATTTAACTAACAAATTTGAGCTTAAACTACATTTTACTACACTATAAAAGAATACAGGGTTCCTACTCTACTGCTTTCTGTATCTTCTGTAACTTTCTGTACTTTAAATGTAAAATGATGATGATCAATTAAATAATTATTAACGCAAGTAGGCGTAGTAAACGAACTCTCATGGAGATTGTGAATACTAATTAGGTTTTTTTTTGTTAACAGGGTGTTAAAATCAAAATGGACGATGCTGGTAACATACTCATCAGGCGCTACTCCAAAAGTAGCGTGTTTGTGAAGAGTACAGCGGCTACAAGTAACGAAGAGACGGCTATTGGACAAGACATAGTCAAACTACCTGGATATTCCCTGGAACAGGAAAAAATATTTAAGGTATTTACAATTTCTTAAAAAATAATTTAAAAAAAACTATACACACGTGTTTATTCCCAGCACGACAAGGGTCCTTAATGAAGGATCGGATAGACCTGTTGCGTCATTCTGACTTGATACTAGTTTCTTAGGTTATATATTTCAACGTTATGTCAGCCACTGCATATGTTACATACAGCCGAGAACGCTTTTTTTAGTTACACTGTATGTATATGTGTAGGTGGGTTTTTCTCGGATGAGAAGAGTATATTTATTCTGGCTATGAGAGCTTAAGTTATTTTATATTATGGGTAATCAGTTAATAGTGAAACATTTATCATAAAACTCATAATAAATGCTGTAAACGAATTAATAACGAACAAAACAAATAAATAATTTGCTAGACACACGGTATTTAAACAAAATCGCTCATAGAGGAATGTAATTTTTTTATTGGCGTAATTACTTAAAGAGCTACAAACAACGCATTACAACTACGAGTATGTATACGAAAAAACTTCAATGTTGAAAAAAAACACAGGCATGTTGTTATTATTTTAATGTGTATCTGCATTAGTAGTCGTTTTCTTCCTTTTAACAAATAAGTTGTCAAACCAGTACACAGACATTAAACAGTTTCCGTCATCGGAGTTACTTTTGGCTTGCCTACAATAAAAAATTTGATGGTCTCTATAGAAAAATAGTATGCATGAAAACAGAAATCTTTTGGGCGATTGGAGGTACTGCTTATTTTTCAGAAGAAAGTGTGTATCTAAACAGACCTACCGAAATGATAATAATCACACCGTTTTCTTTTGTTTGCTAGAAAATATTTAGACCATACAGAAAGCAAGATAAACAATTAATACCATATATTATAATACCACATCGAAATATTTTCTCGTAACTTTATATTTTTAATCCATTCTGAAATTATTTACATAATTAACGTAATAATCATAGTACGGTGTTTATTAATAAGTTTCCCCGTAGAACCGTAATTTGCTTCAATCCAGTAGGTGCATCTAATTAGACGTTACAAACCTATCCTTCCTCTTGCATTTAATGCGTTCTTTACAAACTTAACATGCAACAAAATAATGGCCGTATTCTAGTCTCTATACCTCTTGGAATACGAATATAAAATTCTAAATTATGGTTAAGCAAGGTAAACTGGTTCGTTGTGAATACGTCGAACGGGCACGCGGGCGTCAGTAAATATTTCCGTCAAGATGGATGCGTTTATGAAATAAAATGTCGTAACAACATTTACCTATTAATTTCATGGTTGCCTACATAATGATCTAAATTGCTTATTCGATGATCATCGGCTTAATGTTTAGTCGAAAATTACCTGTTTTGTAATCCAAACTGGAATTTTTATTTTTTGAGATTTAAAATATTGCTGAACGACTTCAAATTTCATACTAAAATCAACTGTGAACTTTCGTCACGATACGTTTTGAGTGTGTGATCTCTGTTTCTATTCGGTCCGTAATTTTCTTTTGGTCATCATGATTAAAGACAATAATCAATGTAAGAAAAAATAAAGGAAGGACGCAATACTCTAATGCCCATTGCGTTGTGCATCAGTCATTTGTGGTGCATCACGACTGCACAAATTGTGTCCGGGCACGACTCACTTTGACCATGACATTGCCACATAACTACATTTTATATCAAAGTGTTATTGTTACGCAACGTGAAGTCTATTTCAAGAAGGTTCTTAATATAGCCCAAACTGTAAATGCGTTTAGTATACAATTTGAGATTGTCCCAAATAGTGTCTAGTACTTTGGTATTATAGTTTAATTTTTGATTAATCTTTCAACAAGTGATTTTGCAATTATCGATGATATTTTCACTTGGAAAGAGGATACTTTTTACTGAATGTTTACCTTGACATTTAATTATAAAGTAAACATCGAACGAAATATTGTGAAACGATCTGAGTCTAATCTCATATTAATTCAGGTAACCAACACACCAGTACTTTCAAGTATATCAGCATTTATAAGTACAACACAATGGAAAACTTCTGCATCACTTCCTAGCATCCGAAAGATTCATTACCAATTCATACACCATTACCTACACAGTTTTACGTAAGCCTGAGGCAAACAATAAGAGAATGTACCATTAAGTAAGGGAAAGAATGGTCATTGCCTCACATATTTGTTTGGATGTTATTCTATTTCCTTGGGAGTAACGAAAGCGAATTTGCAGAGAGTAAGCCATTGTCCGTGCCTATCACACTACCGTAACAATGTGATGTTTCAATTAATAGTTGTGAGAATTATTTCACCTTTTTAGGTTGTTCATCAACAACTAAAACATATTGACGCGATGTGTTGCAAAACATTCATTTTAAACGTGAGACTAATCCAGAAAGCCATTGAAATTACATTATTCTTCATTTCAGATAATTATTGTGTTCATAGATGCACATTGACCCATTGCTCTGCAATAGACTTCTTCGTTAAAAATCGCCTATTTCCTCGAAACAATACCGTCAAGTGTTGAAACTGGTTGATCTCTGGGATTTTTTCTGTGCGATCTGTTTTGTTTCCCACATACAATTCCCTCGTGACTAAATTAATAAGAAACAATACTATCAGTGGTGTCAACCACAATTTTTAAATAGCTCCAAATGACTTTAGATCTTTTAAAAGTTGTGACATTATAACTTGACAATACTGAGATTATTTGTTAAAAAGACTTATGGTTAAAATACTTCTAAGAACTTAACTTATTTTTATTCTTATATCTTATTTATTTATAACACTTTAAGAAAATCTAGTATATTGTCTTCTTAAACATCAGTTTAGCTCAAACTCCCATTGCAATATAAAAGTTGCGTAAAACAATTTATCACTACTAAGACACAACCAATTAACTAGACGAGTCTGTGCAACAACAATGGAATGTTCCAGTCATAATTAGAAATCTCAAAAACATCATCAATAAAACCATTTGTATGACGCTTATATCAGCCGATGTCCAAAATTTTATTGGTAACAGCGGCAAAGCTTTTTACAGATATTATCTATATAGACCAGCGTACGGCTGTCTCAAAAACTTCTTGCATTGATTATGTAACAACTTCATAGCCTCAATCAATTTCATCGATGCATCTGACTCGGCAATTTTGTTGCAGTCAGAGTTCCTCGCCCGAAAGCCTCTGGGAATATTTAAGATAGCTTTGATAAATTCGGATCACGTGGCGCCGGGATGTCGAGCTTGTGACTTAAATATTTATTTTATTTATTTTAATTCTTAATGCACAAATTAAAACTCACTTGTACAAAGGCGGACTTAAAGCCACAGGCATTTTCTTCCAGTCAACCTTTGGGTGGTGAGGAAATGTCCGAGTAGGTGCATTAGAAAATAAGTTTTGTTTTAAAAAGATAATTATTATACTTAATTGAGGAGATGGACATAAACAGTATGCAAATACAAATTTACAGTACAACTACGTTTCAAAATACAAATAAACAGTATACAAATGTAATAGTATAAATAAAATCACTTTATAATAAAATATAAAATTGACATACCCAAAACCTCGAGATGACTAAACATCGTCACTGATTGTTATTTATAACTTATCCGATAGAATAACGTTTTAATTAGGTTGCTGCGGTTGCACAAAAAAATGTAGAATATCTTTATTTTGATCAAGAAGTCGATTGCCTTATATTTAATTTAATAATATTGATAAAAAAGTAGAACGCTATTAATAAATAAGTATTGAATTTATAAATAACGTTCGCGCTTGACATCTTTATTTTAGAGACGCGCTCCCGCGTGGGAGGTACAACTCTTGTTTGATCGAGCGATTGTCTTTTTATTAGCAACTGAAGGCTTGTTATGTAATATTACTATGATAAGATCTAACATAGAACCATTGATTCAACCGCATCGGACAATTTGTTTTAGATCAACACACATCTTAATTAAGATAAAAATACTGTCTGCATGTTGTTTGGGTTAGCTTGCTTGAATCTTAATTTTATGTAGAGTTTTGTTTTCGTCTTTTCTTTGTCCTTTGTTTTTTTTTATTAACACTTAAACTTTGTTTCAGTTATTTGACATGAAGAAATTCCAATCAAACGTGAACCGTGAACTGCGACGCGCGTACCCTGATCGCAGGCGGTTAGAGACGCAATGCCTTAGCGCCATCGCCTTCGTCAAATCAGACTCTGACCTTCTCGACTGCCCCATCTGGGTACTCATCATTAACGTCGTGGCTATGGACATGCTCAAATCTAAGCTTCCCCCTGGTAAGTTTATAAAATCTTTTTTTAAGACAACTCCCGCACTAGGAATATATCCTGTGTCGCTGGGTACTTAACAAACATACATTAAACGGACAATTAATACACCCAGACTCAGAATAACAATTTGTGAATCACACAAAGTTTCGTCCCATGTGGGGATCGGACCCACAACACTCAGCGCAGTAGGAAGCGGTGAGGTGACCGCTTAAACCACTACGCCATCCGTGCAGTCAGACCAATCATTTAATTTATTAACGATTCTCTAGAGGGAGCCAAAGCTGTTTTATGTCAAGGATCGCCCCTCAGTGGTGTAAATATGAGTTTAATATGTATAATTATAACATACACACCTTATAGCTAGTGAGATTCTAGCTTACATAACAAGGTCCAGGAAGTTAAACTTTATGAACTATTTATAGAAATAACTACAATATAAATACATAAGTCAATCAGCAGGCTCATCACGCTGATCCAAGCCTTTTGCTGTGAACAGTGCCAATAGGATAAACAATATGAAATACTTACTTTGAATAATATAATAGTATACTAGTGTAAACTACAAGTATGTAGTGACTAAATGAATACCCTTAAGTTAAAAGCGCGCTCAAAATATCTTGATATTGATATATACTTTATTTAATATTTAGCTACTGCCAACAGAAAATATAAGGATTACCATAAAAAATATACATCCATCACAAAATGAGATAAGGCCAACAAACAAAAATATAAAAACTTAACGTTATAAAATCAACCACCTTAATACTTACCAACCTACCAACTTAATAATATAGTTGAAGAACATGCATTTGGCAAATTAGGTTTGTATGTAGGTTTGTATGTAGATATTTAGAGATTTTAATTATTATTACTTTTTTAGTTCAGACACTTGATCCATATCTTCAACATATTATACATACAATATTATAAATTTAATTTATTAGCAAATCTATGAAAAAAAAGTAGATTTTGGTTTTCTTAGATCTAGGTACTGAACTAATATTTGTATTTTTTTAAACTTTTATAAGCTCACCGGCACTCGAGAAACAGACAGACTGGCGAGTGATCGTAGAATAGTTCCGAGTTTCTGTGACGTACTAAATCATAAAAATGTTATATATGCACCTATGACCTATGACTACCTATGACAATATTGTATTACATAATGTAACATAATAATATATAATAATAATCATAATTAAGGATAAACGTTTTACTAACATGTTGTAGTCGAATACGTAACTGATGGACACAAAAGGTTTTATTCGAAATTACAAAACTATTTTGACAGCTTTATACAGTAGAGAAATTATGGCAAACACACTTAAAACTGATAACAACAAACCATTCTAAGTATATGAAATCAACAGTCTAAATATATTTTACATGGATTCCAAAACGTTTTTATTTGCGGTTCTCACGTTTTTAAAGTCCTAAAAGATTTTATATCGAAGGCAAAATAAACAAAAACAGCTCAGGTTTTAGGATAAGCCATTATATGCACTTTAGTGAATCACATTCAGAGGGCAAAAAGTCAATTATTTTGTGAAATCTTAACACAAGGGAATTTTTTAAATATGTAGTATAACAATAACCACATCAATATTATTTGAATTATGAAAAAAATAAAAATAAATTAAAAGGATCGGTCTGATGAGAGCGGCAAATCAACCCATCAACAGTTGCCGCTATCTGATCAAACAATTGTCAGACAAATCTTAAGTTAAAAGTGCAGAGAGAAATACTTATTTAAAGCGGTCCAACAATTTTTCATAGTTTGACAGAATCGTTAATTAGGTTTTTTATGCCCCTCTTCTTTCCGTCCCTTTATTCACAATGCTTTTATCTCTTGTATCGACAGCAGCTTGGATCCGGTTGTCACTTTAGCTGTTAACCTTGTCTGTACATTGTTCACTATCACTTTCTGCTACTAGTACATTGTAGTTAGCGCCATTTATAATCATAATACTAATGCATATATCCATTTACTTGTACAATAACTGTAGTGGAATACATATTTGTAATAATGATAATGCTGGAATGTAGTACATTGTGATATAGAACAAAAATAGGCTAAACTTGCACTATGAATTCTAGAAAACCTATAAAAAAATTAAAGTTATCTTATTTTAATGGAAGTACTTATCGACATTTAAAAGGCAATTTTTACTAAAGCGACACAGGTGCGTATTTTTTTTTCTATATACCTAGTGACTTAATGAGATGTTATACCTAACGTACTTTTGTTACTATATATAGCACGTAAAAACCTAACCTACACCAAGATATTCCAATCAGACATATTCATGGGAGCAAATATTTTTACTGATCGAGAATTGAATCAACAACCCCTAGTATTGCAGTCGAATGCGTTACCGTACCACACAAGTTTTGAGTATAATGAATACGAAGAAGGAAAAATAAATCTCTAAGTTTTTTTAAATAATATGTATCTGTGAATCACGCCATCAGGTATGCGGTTAAAACCAGATACATAAAACATCGTTTTTTTTTCAAAAGGTCTTAGGCCATTGCAACGTCATCGTTATTTGAAGGTCTTCTTATATCACTAAAGAACAGGACAACAAACCTTTATATGATGACATAAGCGTGAGAATTATTCTCTAAAGTTACGTAACTATTAATAGGTACGCAAGATTAACCTATAACCTTAGGCTTTTCAATTCACATTATTTAAAAACAAACCTAATCTCGTAACACGTTTATAAGTCTAAACTTATTTGTTAACTATTTCAAATTCTATTAAAATTGCACCGGAAAATATTGATATTTAACTATTTGATTACAAAAAGGTATTTTACGTTTACATTTTCATCCTTTAATCATTTGTAATCATAATTTAATTCAAAATTCTGAGAGTATTAACGACAATCATCTTGAGTTTATTGCACAGCGCTTTCTTGAAACATGGGATGGGCCGTCACTGCTACCCCCGGTTTAGGTGCGCTTTCTGGACCCAACTTCTATGTTTTGTTATGGCTTCTAGAACATTGATTTATAAATCTTGAAACAATATTTCTGTAACTACTCAGATCTTATGGTTAGACACACCTAGAAAATGCAGAATATTCCAATTATTTAATGTGTACATATATTTGCCCTGGTTAATACTCGATCCGGATTGGCTCCATCTAGCTGTAAAGTCCGACTTGTAAAAATATCTGAAAAGATATACTTACACAAATGAATATCATTTATTTATCATTCGTTTTTAATGTTGTGGTCTAAGTCCACTCAGTTTAATTAAGTGGATACAGTGTTATAGGTTTAATTCAATTTTAATAAGACGTAATCACCGAATAAGATGTTTTTGCTGTAGATTAAAAATCCGTTATTTTCTGCCATACTCGTACTTACGAATGATTATATCTCAATCTAAGAATCAAACACTACTTACATATATAGTTAAGTAAATTACAAAAACCAAATTAATTACTACGTATATGTATTCTTATAAAAACAGTGCATTCGGAACAAAATGGTCATTAACAAAAGACGTGGAAAAACAACCAACACTTTGTGCAGTACAACATTCCTAGAAACAATACTCCTAGCAAAATATTATTTTTTTAAATTACGTCATATTAAAAATACTTCCGTACTAAAAACATAGCGATATAATCACTCGCGTCTGACTAAGACTAGCCACGAAACCAAAGAATTAACGATATACTCATCGTTTTGTACCTTTTTTTAAATATAGGCTTCATTAAGTAAAGCATGGTCAAGGTGGGCGGATGAAACATACATATGCATTTTTTTTGAGCTAACGTAGATCGTTCGATACTGGTAGTATAGACACATTTTTAATTACATTTTTTGATAACATTTTTTTATGTTTTATTTTATTTATTTATTGAAGTCTATTTACTGTCGGATCACAGAGGGAAATCCACTATTCGACACAAAATTTCGAGTAGGTATAATGAAAAGAAAGAGTAATTGGAAAGATCCCTATAGCTAAAGACCTATAACTCAAAGTAGCTGTTGCCAGGAACCCTCTAATATGTATTATGTCGATATTTGATCCAAGGACACTGATAAAGACTCATTAATACATTTTTAAGAATAAAGTTATTACTTAAAGAAACATGTAGATCAATGCATGTAGACATGTTCTCACAAAGTAAACAAAATTCTCTCAAGATAAACAACAAACGCGATACACCCATCAACGATCTGAGTTTCATAAAATACGATCAAAGGTATATTATTGCAAAAACCTAATCAGGAAATGATTCAGTCGATGCCACGTTGAAGTGACTATAGAGTACAACTTTTAAAGTTATAAATTGGTCACAAAACCAATTAAGTGTCTAACATACATGAGCGCTTAATTTTCCGCATATTTAGATAATTATACGATCCATACAACTGATCTAATAGCTTCGTAAACAATTTCAATATTACCTTACAAAGACCGCCCACTAATGCCAAAATGAAACAAACAATTTAAACCTACATGACATTTTAGCCATTGGTTTCATTCCGTGGTCATTGCCCTTAATCTTAACCGTTGTAAAGTTCATGTTTTAAATATAAATTCAATCCTATTGGTCCTAAACCATAAAGGGTAACGTTGCCATCGTTAAGGTTTACAGAAGGAGCAAACGATTTCACGCTGCTCGCAACAATGGCAAATAAAACGAGCAAAATCAACGGAAAAATTGCAAACCAACATTAAAGGAACAGAACACACAATACGTGTCATAGCGAATAAATTGCCTAACACCGATATCAAAGACAGAGACGCATGGGCCCTGTGAAGAGTCAACTTGAACTCTTTTATCTCGCAACATAAAAACACCCTATTACAATAGCCCATTGTGGACAATATTTATCAAATCCGTGTCGCGTGGGTGTTTGATCTACAATCTAAATGTCACTGAAGTTCATTTCTTCATCCATTCAACTTATCATTAGCGAAACAAACATACGTTTGATATTTGAGATGTTTACTTAGTCTTTCTATGTAAAAATCTACAAAGCCCCTATCGAACACAACTTATCCATCAACAGCTTTTAAACAGTTACTATAAATAACAATATACATACGTAGATTACTAACGACACCGAAAGATCGGACAATGTTACACTTACCTTGTCTTAGACCTCCGGTATTGCAGCTGAGGTATTATGGAACAATGGGACGACCTCTACACTTATCATTAACCGACGAATATACAAATTAAATTTATAATGCACAATAATATTCTCACGCGCCGCCACGAACGTTTAACCAAATTTGTCTTGACCTTGTGTTCAAAATTTTGAGAAGAAGAGAAAAAAATTAATAGTGCGAAAAGTTTGATACAAAAATCAACTATGTGTAGAACAATTTAAAACTGAAAAGGAAATTGTCTATAACTCTCAACGAGTAACTTCGTTTTTTTTAAGATAACTCCCACAGTAGGAATGTATCCTGTGTCGCGGGAAACATCACAAACACACATGAAACGGAACCAAAGAACACCTAGACTCAGAACAACAATTTGTGGATCACACAGTGTTGTCCCATGTGGGGATCGAATCCACAACACTCAGTGCAATAGAAAGCGACGAGGTGAACGCTTAAACTAACTACTATTAACTAAAACACTACGCCATTCGTGCAGTCAATATGTTCTCATTTTTTCGCTGCATTAGTAACAACGAGAAAATCAAAATCCTGAATAGGAAGAAAACAGATTTATGAGCAGGAAATATAAATTGTGTGTAGTCATTTGCACGTCCTTGCAAATAAGCCGTGATAGCAAGTGTAAAGCGGAGTATTATACATAATTTTCAAATATGATTTAGTTCCCATAGCACGCAACCGCATCGACTATGTTTTAGTTCTCAGTAGCTGGTTATTGTTGAGCAACAATGCAATCTTGTATTCATCTTATGATGTATTGCACCTCATTTCACTCAAACCATACTGCAAAATTTCTAACTAATCCCATCTATATTGGCAAGTTAACAACAATTCAACATCTAATATTGGTTTTTGCACAAATCATCGTGGATCTATGGGAAAGAAACCGCACCGCGAGATTCCCGTGATTTTCCAACACGGATAAGATGCGTTCATAGATTTTCTGCAGTGGTTTCGCGGTCTAGCCACTGTTTATCTGTTAAGGAACTCAAATAAATCTATTGAGTAACGTAGCTAATGTTTTCTGTACGGAAGTCGTGACACTTAAACGTGGGGACCGGCTACTTTTGCTGATATACAATCAAATTTGCGAACTTACTATTTTGAACATAAAGAGTTATGTCTAATATGTAATTTACGTCTTCATAATAAAACAACTTATCACAATTAATTGTTGTTCGTACACATAAATTGTTTCTGACTAAATTTGACCTACCTGAATATCAATCGTGCACGATAGGACATTGTTATTCCTATTGCATACACAATTTCATAACAAAGGTCGCCATATCTCAAAACTAGATCACAACAAGCAATGATTGCCCATAACCCATTAAATTCACTTTAAAATTGTAACAAACACCAATTGAATCATTAAAGTCTTGAGCAGACATAAATCGTGACTGATGTTATGCAAAACTGTTTTTATGACAAATGCCGTTTGAAAGTGATCTAAGCAGATCAATTTCAAATACCGTTCGTTGTCTTTCACAAAATTTCAAAACCGAAAGTCATAATGATGTGTTTGATCGAGCAAAATCTCGAGAACTTCATATTAGAACCTACATTAGTTTTATGTCTCTATTGTTATTGTTGAGTACAATGATGATAAATTTAAGTTATCAGTGACTGTGGTTGAAGTGACATTTCTGTAAGTACTTACATTTCAATTTAAAGAGGACTAAGCATTCATTACATGCCAGATATGGATAAACTTTACTAAAAGTATATGGATGTTATTTTTTCAAAACAGTTGGTATAGTTATGTAACTCGGCGCTTAATATTCAGATCAGTGGCTGAACTAATCTGGATTCTAATCCCGTTGCGACATGGCGTCTACGTTATTTCCAGACACACATGTATCTTTTAAACTTGGATTATGTGCGAAACAAAAGCTTATCACTTAAATAACATCAACATAGCTTCGTATCCAATGTTGGACTTAAAAGCTTTTAAAGCCATTCTTGTTTATTTTAGTGCAATAACAGTTTTAAACTATAATCATATTAATAAAAGGCAGTCTACTAATGTTTATAAACTACAATTGGCTAATGTATTTCCTTACTTCCTAATAGTTTTTAAATCAATTCTAATTGATTTTGCGGCTCCAAAAGTCTCGAAAAATAATAAGTCATATGTTAACCTATTTGAGGCCCATTGTTTGTTCTGACAATTTTTTGGTATATTCACTTCTCTTCAACAAATAAGAGCAATATTCCAATGAATTTAAATGTATTGTTTGAATATTATTACGTATTCGACTTTGAAGTTGAATGGAAATTTGGTTCATCATAAAAGTTTAGTTTATTTTTCTGATTACGTAGGCAGATACAGTGAACCGAAGTGCAATGAAGACACTAGACCTTTAGCGTCGCATTAATAATCGTAGGTTGTACGGAGTCGTGAATAGGAGTGATTGCCATCGGATCTGAACATCACGATTCGTGTTTCAGGTTGCGTAAACGTCGCTAAATGTTTTCAATTGTTATATGTACAGAATATTGGATAATCCTTAACAAACTAATTGTTAGACTTTATAACAAACACTTCCATGAAATTTGGCATGATTAATCAAAGAGCACTTTGACTTGGAACTAAACTTAAGTTTCCAATATTTTACTTGATTTTACTTTTATAATAATAATTCTGAAACTCAATATCGATGTGATGTTCGTTTCACATAAGATTTTAAAAATATTTGAATTAAAAACAGATGGATTTCAGGTTTTTATAACTACCACGCGACTTATATAATTTTCCTTAGTCTTGTCCCCAGTACAACGACCGATGGACATCAAAAACCGGCCTCGCATTCCCATCCCCGACGAGGACCCTTACAGTATCGCCAGTTCGAACAACAACGGATCGGGATCCAGCGGTAGCTCAGGGGGCTACGGGCATAACAATGGGCATGGAGTAGTGGCCGCCACCAGGGAGCAGCTTATGATGCAAATGGGACAAAGGAGAGGTGACAAGCCTCCGAAACTGCCACCCAGAGAAAATGGATATCTGCCTGCTGATATTCCAAAGGTTTGTGATAAGCTTACGAGTATTTCTTGGCTAATTTCATAGTCCTTTAAGCAAACCAAATCTAGTTAAGGCAGTGTTACATGATTTCTATTTCATCAAAATGCATTTTTTTTCATCCTTTATACTTTTCTTACATTGATCAAACTGTTTTGCATCTTTTATATAAATCATTTGCTCATTCGAAGGAACAAAAATGGTCAAAATGAATTCGCAAGTCATTTAGATTGCGGGTAGCCAGTCAAGGTGTACTTCAAATTGCCATTCGTGAAGAATTAATTTAATAAGCCATGATTTACTAGGCCCACAGATTTATTATTGAATAATAAAACCTTGGATTCTCTAGACCCTTTTTATATAATAAATAAAATGCGGTTTCAAAGTAATCTTCGAAGTGAAAATTGCTTTGTGAATATTTTTGCATCGGAGTACATTCGAGTACATTCAGTGCATCCGAGTACTTTTTGAGATAGTATAGCTCTTGTATTACTATAATTTCCTAATTATTCTTATTGTTACTCGCCCTTTATTAGGGATTCCTCCTTTTCTACACTAAATTGTGATTTTTATCATTGATTGTTCCGACCTGCTTTTTCAGTTCTCAAATTAAGACAGTTTTTGTAAGATATCCTTTTTTTATTTCCATTGTTCGCTAAGTGATCATTGCTTATTTGTTGCTTTATGATTTAAAATAAATATATAAGTAATTGTCACAGAGTTATATCAATAGCGGCACCTATTTATTCTATTTAAAATGAAAGATCTTAGTCCAAAAATTTCTTAGCTTCTCATGAGAACAGAAAATACAACTCAATAATGTCAATGAAAACCCTTACGTTAACTAAAAACTTGGTTGATTTAAGACATGGTATAGGTTAGTAATAATAATGTTGACTGTTCAGGAAGTAAGCCATCAAGTAAAATATAGGACTGTTGGGATTACGTCAAACTCAGGATTGTACGCATCTTATGTCAGCTTAAGAGTATGTCCAATTATAACGCCAAAATCACCAGACGCTTTTTAAATTCCAATTACTGATAATCTTTAAATCTCTGCTTTTATTTATTGTCATTTATATTTTTGCCAAATTCAGACTATAATGAAAGCTTGATTTTTCAACCTTCCGTATTTAGAATTCAACTCCTACGTTCTTGTAATACTGAGAATTATTTTATATTTCATCAGAATCTGTAATATCGTTTTTGCACTTATATTATTTTTCATTTGATTGTTCAACTAAGTAAAGATGATTTGATAACTATTTTACAATACACCCAAGATGGTTTTTATAATGGCTTTTGTTGATCATCGCAAAATGAGGCCAGCGAGAGCTAAAATTACATGTTCGAACATCTTTTGACGTCGTTAGTTCATTCTTCATCTACAAACGTATTCATCAATCATTGCGTAATATTGTCTTGAATAATATCAATTGTGAAGAATAACTTATAAACATTAAACACGGGTGAAAGTTCAATCCGATTAACGGCTGTCAGTTCCGACTTCTTGTCAGATAATTGTAGACATGCACTATCGCAACCGTACGTAGAGGACAATGGTCCACGCAGCGGGGTAGATAACGCTGACGTATCTCACATCTCATCGCTTCCAAAGATAAATGATATCGAGTCCACCCGAGTCGGCTTTTAGTCTTTTATTGGTTTACCTAGTCCAGCTTCTGACACCATACAAATGAACAATGTCCTTTGTGTGTCTGTTAAGCTTCACTTCTGTTTCTGCTAGGTGTTTATTAAGAAAATATATTACTTGTAACGATATTTTATTTCGCCGGAGTGGTTTCCATAACCTTTATTTGATAAGATCCTGATGGTATGGCTTTTATATATCAAGTTTCTTTGTTTTTTGATGCCATCTCCGGTTCGTTACAAGGTAAAAGATTGTATGGCGCCCACACATGCATACTATTGCATCTGATTTTTACCTCGTGTTTTATTCACAAATGGCATGCTTTTACATGTTCTTAGGCACGAGTGTGTTGTTTCGTAGACATATTACATTGTAATTGCAAACTGGATGTTCTTCTTGCAGCTTTTAGAGTCCACAATTTTTTAATTTGTTACTATTGTTGGGTTAGCGAAGGCAGCGGGAGAAATTGTGAACACCTAAGGTATAACGCAAATAAATTTACAGATTTTGTGAATCCTACATACTACTAAAAGGATCTATAATATTTCCATGAAAATACTCTTATCCAGAAATCACCTTAAAGAGTTTTGGTTGATTTTGTTACAAATATATAAAAAGATATCTAAAATTATGCTCTACAAAAACATAGTTTTAATTCAGCTTGTTGTTTAAATATTTTAATGTTTCATTCACAGCCTGATTACGATGACATCAATGAAGGTGAAGGACGCATGCCATCACAGTTCCCGAGGGGAAAATCAGATAAAGGCAAAGACAATAAAAAATATGGTAAGTAATCATATTAAAGTTGGTGCGTTTTAATCCGATGCGCGTTAGATGCGGCGCCAACGCCTTCCGCATTGCGGCGCTCTTTAAAAGCATTGCTTATTAAGGTGCCATGCATTCATTTGTATAAGTGAGACGAAATTACAACGAATAACTTAAACACGAATACAAATAACGCTTGAAATGCGAATGCCATGTTAACACTATACAAAAATATAATGCAAGTTCATCACGCGGCCAATGCCCTTCATCTGAAAAAAGTCTAAAAACAAACAAATAAAACTAAATAAGCGATCGCATTTTCTTAAAATACCAAAACACCAAAAAAGAACTTAGCTTACGACGACATGTTCTTTCGCCTTTATTTCAGTAGTAATCTATTCAGTGACTAAATCTGTCCCTCCAGAATACAAGCCCCTAATTACATTCCGCCCTCCGCCTCATAATTTAAGCTCACTTCAATTAACTTTTCCATTCTTGAGCAACAAAGGAGATCAAAAAGGTAAGTACAAAAAATCCAGCATTAATTACCTGGACAATATAAATTCTTCTGGTAGTATCACGATGTTCTGTCTTGCTGAATGGGTAATAACAGTATTTAAAAGCCAAAGTTCTTGGCGGCGCCTACATCGAGAGTGGTCGGCGGATTGCTCGCCGTATTTGGTCATTACTCTGGACATAATTTCTTTGTAATGGACAAATAGGTTGCAACTGATATTGCGAACACTTAGTGATTTGGTTGCCGACAATGATTTATTCCATTTGTCGGCTGAGTTATTTTTCAATTAAAGCTTCTGTATAATCAACTGTAGTACGATATAAAATAAATAAACTCAATCAAAAAATATTAACCACCGACAGAATCAGAAGCGGTATTATAGATTTAACGCTTAGAGTCCTTTCTTGTTGGGACGAAGTTCTTTATCGCACGTTACATGCTCTGAGCGGATGGGAGCGAAACCGAAAAAAGTGTACAATACATTTCACCGACACTTCTTCCGCAACTTCGTTCCGACCGGGGCTCCATAGACCCCTTACGCCGTTTTTGTTTTTCATTATTCTTGGCTACAATTAAAAAACTGGTAATCGCCTCTTTTTTTAACGTTGAAGAGATTTACGTTGAGTCGAGTTAAATTTTTAATTTATACTTGTTTCTGTTTAGTCTTTGTAGCCTGAAGGTTTTGATTCATGATAATACCGATATGTTTATCGAAATTAACGTACCAATAATACTGGATTCGCAGATTAAAATTTACTGGATACGAACGTTGTCAATTCATTACTGGATTCCAACTGTCGAGTCATAATAGAATTATTTACCGCTACAATATTAGTCGAGCAATCACAGTCCTTTCGTGCCGTCCACAAGTGTCCATTCGGTTACACGATTCTGTTGACAATGCAATGGATTTATGAATCCGAGGTGCAATTTATACAACGACGTTGCAAGTGTGAACCTTTATATCAACATCTCTAGCCAGATCATCATTTATAAAACCATGTCCACGCGTCTCGTGATTTACAGCAATATTTATAAAATATGGGAGATGCAAAAGTGCTAGGCACAATGAACTCTGTCTCAGTAAATTCAAAGACTGGTAAAAACAAAAGTATTTATTTCGTGTCGCCTGAAATTCGACTAAGACAGACAGAGAATAAGAAGAAGTTATTCATAAGATATTTAATTTAAAAATGATATAATAGACGTGTAATTAAAAAATAGTTACACACACACTATTTGTATTAATAAATTAAACTCCACATACTATATATTCGTTGTTAAGTAGTCAAGTATATTCGTTGTTTTAAGATCGTTTTTGGTTGTACACGAGACCAGCAGGGACTAAGGTAGTACAGTAAGAGTAAGGTCATTAATCAAAGATTACAAAGGGGCACTTACTCAAACATCAAACACTATCTTAAAAGGAGTAGATACTATTAAAATATTAAAGAATTATATCGTACTTACAAAAATATGAATGTCCCTTTTAAAATATGAGCACTATTAACATTTATATTCACTCTGCAAACATTATTTATACAGTAATGTCAGTTCAGCTAAACTTTAGAAATTTCAAACTTTATTTGAATTACGGTAGTCTATGACGTTACTCAAAATATTCTAACGTTTGATCTATACCGAAGCAATTAGTTGAATTTGGCATTTATTTTGGAATGGCTTTCGTTGATACCTTTAATATTTGTTTACCATTCATAAGAAGGGTTCAGAACAGAGGTTACAAGCAGACAATGCCTCAGTGTGTCGCAAGCGTCGTCTGGCATTTCGGCGTATCCTTGATATTTGAATCGACGGTATTTGGAACGAGTCAGGCGTAGGATGCGGAACATGGGACTGAACGTACAAGCATTCCGTTTTATTAGCGAACGTGTTCGCTCTTTTAAACATAGGAATAGGTGAACTAAACCATGTTGTGCGTGTTTGTTCAACTTGTAATAGATTTTCAACATCTAATGTGTTATTTGTTTTCAGACGATCCCTACTACTGCGGTCTACGAGCACGCGTTCCAAACTTCGTGAAGACTAATGGCGCCAAAGTTCTACCAGCTATGGCCGAACGACTTACTCTGAAGGAGGCGCCGGTGCCCAGCAAGCGTTACAGCGTTGCCCACGCCCACCCTGGTCCGTTCCCGCCACATATGCCACCGTTTGCACATGCCCCGATGCCGCCGCAGGCATTGTGGCACGCACGCTCTTACGAGAGCGGAATCGGTGCGTACGAACGTCTCCCCAGAAAAGAGAAGCTCATGTTTCAATTCTATCCGAACAAGGAGAAACGGCTGCGACCACTCGTGATTCAGCAGCCTCGCTAGTGTATTGTAGAGACTAACCCCGCACTTTAATTCCACCGCCACTGCGGACTCTTCGCTCAAATCTTGGTATTTAAACTTTCCGTTATATTAGACAGCTTCGCTTAATAGCACTACTCGCCTAGTACCTTAGCTTCGTACCTGCGCTCTTCATGTTTCTTGAGTCCATACTGCATAATAATCAAGTTTTAAAATGCACGTCGTATTTTTCTGTAAACTTTATTTTTTGTTTAGTTTTGTAAATTTTTGTCTGTTGTCTTTTTCTCGAAACCACATTTCCATATCGCAAGCTTTGCTATCACTTACATATATACACAAAGTAGATGTCGTATTAAAACTAGGGGTTACTTACTAGTACTAAATCTCATCATTAAAATAAAATTCAAAAAAAATATACCTATCCATTTGTAGGTAAAGTGTCTTAAGGAGAACAATTTTGCAACTAAATTTATTTTGAAACACGTATAACTTACACCTTACCCAATGCTTGATTCTTTATGTGTGTAATATGTCCACTAACCTTGCTGAAAGAAATATTTAATACATCCAAAAACTTTATTTAAACTCTTAGGATAAATTCAGCAGTAGACTAAATTTAATTTTATAATGATACTCGTATTTTGTAGGAGTCGACCACGCCGTGGCCTAAAACATAGAATATAATATTGCTTGCAGACGGAGACCACTATGATCCATACGCGCTGTACGGTCGCCTGCCCATGCCTGGACGTGGCTTCCCCCCTCCACCAGCACCTCACGCGCGTCATATGTTCATTGGAGAATGGGACTAGAGTGCGAATTTTGTCACCTGGCTGCTTAAATATATAAATAGATACCGTCACATCGATCAATAAATTATTGAAGCAAGTTTTACCTTTGTCATATAAATATTTTAATATGATTATATTTTTGTGAATAGCAAAAATACTTCATGCAAATAAATGTAATAATTTGAACTCGATGTAACGGTATCTTGAAAATCGTAATTTTTATACCAAGTTGTAAATATTTACAGATTTGTAATATAGAATTTTATTTACATCGATAAAATTATCACCAAGCATTTTTTTTTCTTGCTGTTTGCATTACGAATTATCGAAATTTCATAGTTTATGAACTGTGTAACTTGTGTAATCTTAGTATATTTAAGTAATTCAACTCTTTAAATAGTGGCTAACTCAAGTTTACCAACACTTTAGCTCTAAAATATTTAAAATTAAACTAAACGTTGTAAAAAAATTAAATTAATTGAACCAATAAGTTAACTATCACTGCCAACGTACTTAGAAATCTGAGTACCTATTCAATAAAATCACAATTCTCTTGTAAAATATTGTATTTTTATCTTTAAGTGTCAATCCTAGTCAAAACAGGGTTGGGAAAATTTCAATCGATTATTGATTATCATAAAACTATTGTCCATGTTAACTTTCACGTTTAATATAACCTCTAGGATTATGTATATATATATATATATATCTACCTATCCTTTAACCTGTCCGTCGTTTCAACCAGATTGCACTGGTCGTTTTTCACGACCCGTTTCGCATCCATTCCAGTTCAAGATATATTTTATCCTAGACTGTATCAACGTTTATTGTTTTCAAAATAATGAATAGTATGTCCCACATGCTTTCGATAGTAGAATTTTGGGAGGAAAAATATTTATTTGAAAAAAATCATACAATCCATTAAACAAAGGTGTAGTCATTGTACCTATTGCCTTTTATAATATAATAATAGTATTTGTTACTAAATAGGTACCTATCTAGACGTGAATAATAATCACAATAGTTTAAATTTTAGTTATATCTAGAAGTAGGAACTATTTGTTAGCTATCTTTTGTAAATATTTCTTTTATATCTGTTATTCTAGTATCGTACGCATATAATACATATATTTTTCAAATACTCAATATAATATCTAATTTTGTACAACTATGTTTATATTCATGCAATTGTTTGTCACAATTACTCTAAGTTTTTTTTAACAGGAGAGAATATTTACTCGTAGAATATTTTAGATTTATCTTTATATCTGGCAATTTTGCGTACTGCAGAATAAAATCTTTGACATAACTATATTAGTTTAGTCAGCATAGATTATTTTTGTATGTTGTTTATTTTATATATACTTACTTATAAAACTGATATGTATCTTCACTATTCGGAGGTGCTAAGCAGGTTACCATGTTATTCATTTATTGTAGATAATTATTATAATACCTTGTAGTTCATAACATAAAATTACGAACTACTTGCAACAATTTTGCTTTGACATATTTACATTTATCGTCACAAAAACTAACAGCATATTAAAAGAGATTTTGAGATAATAAATAAAATTCATTACGTCTGAACGAAGGCTCAATAGCCAATAATAAGAAACATTTTTATTTTTCTAGCAATACAATCGAATTTTTCAAACCATTATATCTATTGAATGCACTCGCTATGAAACCCGTTTCGTTAACTAAATGAGCATTAATAAAAGTTGAAAAAGTTTGAAAACAAATAATAATAACAAGATATGTACACTGTAGAGTATATATTTTGTCAGAAGCGTTATTTAAACTAATTGAGATACTCATTACACACAATACATACATGTTTTCAGTAATACAATAAGTTCCAACTTAGCTACAATGTATGTGATTGTTGCAATTAATTAAGTATTGTGACAACAACATCCACTTGTATTGTGTAAAAAAGGGTGTTGGCTATCAAGTAACCTATCATAAGGAAGACCGTTTATGATTAAAATATACAATTATCTATAATGTTTTTGAGTTTCAATTACAATATTTCTCTTACTTTCTCCCCATATAAACTTTATATCTGTAGCCTGGTTTATTGAAATATAATATATATCGCTTAATTCTTATTTTATTTCCGTTTTTGTGAGTATGTGGAAACCCTCTTCGACCGTCAGCCGGTTTTAGGAGGGGCGGTGAATAGAAAACTGTAAAACTGCTAAAACACAGTTTGCCTAAATACGGTTAAAAACGACGTCTGCGTGTGCCAGACGTCGCTTAATAGAGAATGTACCCGAAGGTGGTGTCCGCGCCTAATAACAGCAATCCCCGGATCCCTCCTATTACAGGCGCAGAGTGGCACTCCGTGTGTTTTGATTTATCTTTTAATTTATCTTCGATTTATCATGGTCCGACTCTGACACACCACCCCACCGCAAACCCCGGTGGACGGCCCGAGGAGCTTTCCACACGATAAAAAAAAGCGCTGTACGCAAGGCTGTTTCCTTAGAGAATAGCACTACTGGATTGTAGAAAACCTCACAGAAAACCGGTGTTATACAATTCCTCCTTTGCTTTTCCCTGAATAAGTGGGGACCAAACCCCTAACTCTGAGGATGAGAGAGTAGTCAAAGGGTGGCTACGTACTGTCTCTTGAGTTGGAGGTATCCATGGGCGGTGACCCACCAGCTCCTTTCGATTCGATTCTACCAAAAAAAAATCAAATCCACAATATTCAAAATTAAACCTTGGCACCCAAATTAATACTTCGCCAGGCTCTAAGTCAACATTCATCGTGATAAATTTAACAGGATCACCGAGAAGAGAACGGCCTAGGTCTTTAGATACTTCACGTCCCTTCATCTAAAACACTAAAAAGTTGAACTAAGGGCTTTGACAGACACTCGTGTTTGTTAATGTAAGTTGCGTTTATTTATTTTTTTGCTGTGGTAGGCGAATTCCTTCATTTTGATTGTCAGCTTCCATCACCTTCCCATCCATACCTTTATGAAATAATATGAAATTAAAAATGAAGACTGATTAACTAATTCTTAAAGCTGTCTTAATGGGGACAATAAAATACGGTTTCAGATAGAGATATTTCTTTATCTGCTGATCCATTCCTTTTATAAATATTTTACATAAGTTTTGGTTTCTTTTCATTCATCAGAATCCTTCGCTGAATCAGAGAACAGCAAACTGCAATGCGATGATCGTAGTACTATTTTTGCAGGCGCATAATATACAAGGTCCAAGTAACAACCTAATCTGGTCCAAGGGTCTAGTTCCCCATTAACAAAACCAACATGTGCTATATTAGATTTTTAACTACGGTACATCTCATTGGTATTTGTTGATGCCGTTATCGACTCTTTCTTCATCAAATTCAGATCCATACATTTTGGAGCACACACCATAAAATAGTTCGATGGGAATGTTGTTTGTAAACGGATGTTTTTTAGACAATGAGCTAGTAAAATAACCAAATTCCGTACAAGTTTGATACGTCTATGCTGTTACCCAATCTACTTCTTCAATCTGCTTCATACTCTCGAAGTCATAGTTGAAACAGTTCTTAGTTTAACTCCATAAACTAAACTCATCATCTTTGACAGACTGGCTTACATTACGTGCGAATCTCATATCTTCACAGAAAATTTTAATGATGAAAATTTCAAAATGATCAAAAGGCTGCTTAATCCAAGCCGATGATCGTAGGCGCGTCGTTGACTTCATGAGTGTAATTCTTATCTTTTAAAAGATATTTGTAATGCTTCCAAATCTGTAAAAACCTAGAGCATTCGCCGAATCAATGAAAAGAACTAGAGATATGCCTATTTGAACTAAATTCATAATGTCTAATGAAGAATGAATGTTTAATGAGGTAAATGATGAACCAATACTGGATGAACCACTTTATATAGGCCAAAATGCTTATTTGATATTGGCGATTGAGTGAGATAGGGTTGAATAGACTAATAGACTTTGTATTAAGCAATAGTTATTATATTAGATTAGAATTCAAAAGCGCCATATCAACAGTAACAAAATATATATGTATCTATTTCTTTTAAGAGAGTTGGTTGGTAGCAATCGAATGTAGGTTTTGCTTAGTAAAGTACAGCACTCAACAGTTTCCTACAACTATCAATATCATCATCATAGACAGCCTTTAATAGTGGTCTATTCACTAGCTCTTAATAGTGGTCCACTGATGCACATAGGCCTCTCCTTAGAAAGGAGGTTTTGGCCCACTAAACCACGCTGGCCAGACGGGTTGGTATAGGATTGATTTCAAGTTTTCCTTCTCTTTGCAGCGACCCTTACTCGACTCTAACGACACCCATGGGATGAATAGAGGTGGTGACATTGTTTTCTTAATTCGTCACCACATGGATGTACTTATACATCGAAATGCAAAGAACTGAATAAATTGGCTTCTAGCCATAACATCTCTTTTACACCTGTATATATTTATGTATTGTTAAAAATTACCTTCATAAGATTCAGAATATCACTAATATCCTCTTTAATCTTCTTATGCTCCATGAACTTGCACAAGAACCGACCTACTCAGTCTTTGTTCTTGTCTGAAGCTTTTGCAGTGATATCTTCTAATGCGTGTACAGTTGACTTCACATCGGCACGGATTAAGTAGCCCTTCAGAAATGAATAGGGGTGAAGGACTAAATATCGATATAATCGCGCCTATATCCTCGAAGGGGTAGACTGATGTATTAAATGCCCTGATTTGGACCACTATAAAATTTGTTTCTACTTACGTAAAAGGAGCAAGCTTATTGCCATCAACCAAGCACTGGATATGAAAAGTTATGTAAGAAAGGAAGACTATGGTCGGAATGAAATATTGCATTTACGGATAAATTAAGGATGAAAAATACATGTTAGCCGATTCTCAGACCTACCCGATATGCACACAAAATTTCACGAAATCGGTCGAGCCGTTTCGGAGGAGTTCAACCACGCACACCGTGACACGAGAATTTTATATATTAGATATATAAACTCGGTTCCAAAAATAACGGGTCAGTCACATAAACCCGAATATCTCCCGAACTACGTATGCCATCCTAATGAAACGAAGACTGTTCAATTGAGAATTTAATTATACAGATAAAAAATAAAATAAAACTTAAATCTAAACTCTCTAACTCTTAACTTATCTCTAAATTAAAAAAAAAACTAAAGTAGTCATATTTTTCTTAAGATTACATTTTTTTATGATTGTTTTTTTGATGTTTTTCATCACTTTCTTCATTAAATACTTTGTATTGCCTCCACGAGCTCTTCTGTCAGCTTCCAGGCGATTAGGCATGCTGTACACCAAATTTCGGAGCCGGTGCTGAGGAATACCTTCCCATTCCTCCACCAGTGCTTGTTTGAGCTCGGGAACCGTGATTGGTGGGGGGTTTCGATCTTTCACGCATCTCTGAAGCTCGTCCCAGGCGTGCTCGATGGGGTTTAAGTCCGGGCTTCGCGCTGACCACTGCATGAGTTCGATACATTAATATAATATCATGCATTAATATGCCGTGCCGGTCCATCCTGGCCATGAAAGGATCTACATGTTCATTGAGGATCTCTTCCACGTACCTCTCTGCATTTAGAGTTCCATTTTGAATGAGTACCAGCTCGGTGCGGGCCTCAGTAGAAATCCCAGCCCAAACTTGTACGGAGCCTCCACCGTACGCCACTTTTTCCTCCACACACGCTTGATGGAAGCGCTCCCCTGGTCTTCTGTACACCAACTGCCTACCATCATGCTTATAAAGCATGAATTTAGACTCGTCCGTGAACATTACCCTAGACCAATCGTCTAGTGTCCAGTTTAGGTGCTCGCGCACGTATTTCTGTCTTGCAATTCGATGTCCCCGTTCCAGTTTGGGGCCATTTGCGGGGCTCAATGGTTTCAAATTTGCTTCAGCAAGACGTGTTCTTACTGTTTGAGCGCTTAAATTGCCACCTCCAAAGCGAATAAAGTGAGTTTTTAGACCAACAGCAGTTTGAAAACGATTTCGGAGCATTGTAGCCACCAGTTGTCTGTCTTCCCTGGCCGTTGTGCATCTTGGTCTGCCATTTCCTGGTCTTCTAAGGTGTGATCCGGTCTCTTGGTACCGCTGGACTACCCGCTGAACAGTCGACAAAGATACACCAATGTTTCTGGCTGTTTCACGCTGGCTCCGCCCAAGTTCCAAAAAAGTTAGGATTCTGGTACATTCCTCTAGCGTGACTGCCATGCTTCACCTCACAGAATAATAATTATGCACGTGGAAGACGTTCACGATAATTTTTTTTGTGACAGAATAGAAATGGAATGCATTCATAATGAAATGAAACAAAATTTTTTTTTTTTAAAATAGTCATTTTTTTAAATTTTGTTTTTCTAATGAAGTTTTTTTCATCAACCAGTTTAAATAATATGCTATTAGAAGCGCAACTAAAATGTCTTTATTCTGTTTTTTATTTCATTGATCTAACTTTTACAGTTCTGGAGGTATTTCAATTTTTGTGACTGACCCGTAATTTTTGGAACCGAGTGCATATATATATATATTTAATATATATAATAAATATGATATATATCGCTTATATATATCTATATATATATATATACTAGCTGACCCGCCAAACGCTGTATTGCAAAACAAAAAAAAATTAGGGATGAGTCACCCTTACCATTTAGGGGTATGAAAAATAGATTCTCAGACCTACCCGATGTGCACACAAAATTTCATGAGAATCGGTCAAGCCGTTTCGGAGGAGTACGGGAACGAACATTGTGACACGAGAATTTTATATTTAAGATAAGATATGCTAGTTTGAGATGGGCTTGGAAGATGATGAGATCGCTTGGCCATTGAACTGCGACCGTTATTAAATCAATTTCTAATTTTAATTTAATATCGTGTAACATTCTGCAAATAAATAAATTTTAAAAAAATAGCATACTGGAGCCATTTACCTTCATAGACGTTTATATAGAACCCTTTATTCAGACGTTTGAGCATAATTTGTACTTTATAGTGGTCAATTTTTTTCAATCAAAGTAAATAATCTAGCGTTGTCCGTGTGGTGACGGATTAAGAATACAGAGTGTCACCACCCCTATTCATCCCGTGGGTGTCGTAAGACCCGACTAAGGGAAAAAACTACGCAGAACAACAGCACTGCAGAGAGAAGGAAAACTTGACACAAACCCTATACCAACCCGTCTGGCCAGTGTGGTATATTAGGCCAAAACCTCCTTTCTAAGGAGAGGCTTATGTCCAGCAGTGGACTATTAAAGGCTGTTGATGATGATGAAATAATCTACTTTGATTAAAAAGACTGAATAAACACAGAGTACAGTAATACTTTAGGAAATGAAACGCGTATGGTTTCCATGGCAACAAGAATTACCAACAAATGTATTGCGCCGGTCGTCAGTTTACCACACTTGACCCGATTTTTAATGTAAAAAATAATTACTTGGCATAATTTATGGATTACTCGGACGGCAGTGCAGGGGTGAGGAGAGCTGACGCGTCACGACCTGTATCCAGACGGGGGCATAGAGAACATTCTAATATAGGGTCGGCGGCTTCAAGGTAAGTAAGTTAACTTGTGAATACTTAAACAGTTTCTAGAAATGTCTTAGATCATTTCATGTATCTTTTTTTTTTGCCATAAATTAAATTTGCGTCTGCTAAGCTAATGAGTAAAGTAGTAAAAGATCTTGTGTAGTTGATACTTTTAACTATATAAGTAGATGTGGGTAGCTTAGCGCTCAAGCACTGATGTCCATTACGTTTACAACGTCTATAGAGACAAAACAAATTGAGTGATGGACAATTTGGATGGATAGGTACAAAAATGTGTTGTATCATGATAACTTAAACTTGAGGTGAAGTTGGAAAAAAGCCATACCATGCTTTAGTTTTAATTAAATAAGTAAATCTGTCTTTGCTATACTCTAATTGGCAAAATCATCACAATTGTATTTGTGGTTTTTAACTAAAAGTGTCATGCAAATTAAAAGATTTCCGTTAAAAAAATTATTGAAACTATAATTTGGAAACCATGTTGGAGAGATAATATTTATAACAGACAATTCTTAAACTTTCAACCTCCGAATAGACAATCAATTTCAACTACACTTTTTCAGTTTATTTTAAGTATTGAGAAATATATAGATAAGTAGATTTATTTTATTGCTCACTGAGTGAATTCACAATAACAGCATTAAGAATTATTTCTTATAATAAATAAGTAGGTGGTATAACACTATTGCATTGGGCTAAGCCTGTAAAAATAGTTGTTTTTAAAGAAAATAAATAAATAAATAAAATAAATAATAAATAAATATCTACACAAAATGTAAGTTGGACTTATACTAACAGATTTGTTTTGTTTTCGGAGTCGGTCCACAGAAAAGCAGTCTAAATACATAATTTGAATATTTAGAAGCAGCACAATGAGACCCAATTCAGCATTCCGAGTCAACACAGCGTCGCGGATTTCGACAGCTGGCTTTGGACCAGCTCCACCGACAGCTGGTAGACAATCTACCGCAATGACTGGGTTTTCTATGGTAAGAACCATTTCATTGACTGTACCGATACATATTTTTGTATTTTATAATTTTAAAAAATATTGTTCTATCACAAAGTATGTGTAACGATGTCCTAGTGGATTTATTAATTGAAGACACAATCCTTCAACAATCCATTATTATTCCACTGCACCGGTTCCCGGCAGGTTGGCAAGCTTCATATTTCGTAAAAATAAACCTCTGTGGCTTAAACATATTAATATTAAACATATTTTGTATTTCTCTAGATTGACAGGCCTATAACCCAACAAGGTATATCTGGATTACGTACGGGAACAGCAAGAGGGTTCCGAACCCGACAGCTGCAAGACAAACGTTATTGGGAAGAACTTATGCAAGTTAAAGTACGCGAGATGAAGGCAGAGATAGCTAGGTTGACTGAGCAAGCTGAAGCTGGTGAGAGAGAAAAGTCCGCGAAAAAACATTATGAAAAGAGAGTTAGAGAGCTCGCACAAGAACTAACAGGTATGTTAAGTAGAAGAATATTATGGTTCCATGTATCTGTATCTATAGTATATTAATACGTGAAGAGAGTTCTTTATACATTGGAAGAGATACAGATTACCTATCTTACAATCAGAAAATTACTTTTACACAAGCGAAACGCAAGCAATGTCTATTTACTAAGAAATGAAAATATTTAATTCCAAACATAGTTCTTAAAATATTACATATTCGTAAGGTGGGCTATAAATATTAGAGTTATGAGCTATTCACGGGGAAAGGATGCTTCGGGGATCACCTGTGTCTGATCCGCACGGAGCCAACGTCTGGGTGCCACCACTGCGATGGCCCGGACCGTGGACACGGCGCTCCACACTCTAGCAGAATGCCCGGCGTGGGTGGAGCACAGGCGTGACCTCGTGGCGGCCATCGGGGTGGGAGATCTCTCGCTCGGTAACATAATTGCGGCCATGGTTCAAAGCGAGTGCGTGGAACTCCGCCGTCTCCTTCTGCGAGACCGGGCCAGGTACCGCAGACGGCTCGGGCCCGGAGGTCGCAGACCGACCTCCGTCCTCCATAAGCGCAGGCCTGAGGGTGACAGGCCGAAGGGTGGACAGGGTGAAGCAGGCCGGGGTGGGTAATGGCGCTACGGAGCGCGCGGGCCCTTCTCGACTCGAGCAGGAAGGGAACAACCGGGTTCCCACACAGGAGGGGTATGTCGGGGTACTAGGGCTTTTACTTCTAGGGTATACCTGGTTCCCCGGTTAGTGGTACCTGGAGACGGCGTGCAGTTTTTGGTCGGTTCGAGTCCGACATAATCACTCACTGGTGAGTAGTATCCGAGGGGTTCCGCACAGAAAAAAAAAAAGAGTTATGTTTAGACTTAGATAGGGAGCGCAGGTCACTGGGTGTTCGTTGTAACATGCTGGCTCGAAGGTTTGCACGATGTACTCGTACGTACGTTGGGGTTGCCGTGGAGGTGCAGCGCATCAGGTATGTTAACAGAGGCGCAAGTTGACGACTTTGCACCCATAATTAGAAAAAGGTGCGCCTCCCTGATGACGCATCACCGCGGCAATACCAACACCATCCTAAGATTGTTCACAGATCGGTGGGAGACACCGATGATGCGCTGATGGATGCGTCTACATGTTGTAATATACCTAAATTGTTTTTTTGTGTCACAATAATTATAATTCATATTAACATTAGTATGTAAGCAAACTATTACTAACATGATATGGAAACGAAATATTTCTGAAATAAATCATTATTATTATCTAGATAATGATGTTTTTACATCAATATTATTGAAGCAATTAACCAATTATCTTATAAATATCTTTTCGTTTATTGTTTTTAGTCTGATTTAAAAAGTTGGTATATTACCTATAATAGAAGAATGTGTTCTTTCTCAGAATCAAAACTATTTTGTAAAATCTTAATAAGTATGATATGAATTACCTATACTTATTAAGATTTTACAAAATAGTTATATATCATATAATCTATAACATGTATACATTCTCTAGATTTACAAGGACGTTTAGCAGACTACAATACTGCTATTCGCATCGCCAATGGTGAGGCTACGAAGCAGTCAGTAGAAGAACAGACCAAAGACCTTGAAGCTAGTAATTTGAAAATGCAAGAAGAGGTGGAGCAAGTTTTCATGGAGAAACAGAGGAAGGAAAATCAATTAAGACAACTGAGGGAGCAAATGGATAAGGTTGTAGAATTTGTTGTTTAAATTGGATTTAGAATTACTTGGGTTTGATAAATGGCCAAAAACGTTTCAGTTAGAACAACTGCAATTACGGGCGCATAAGGAGATTTCGGACATCCTTATAGAGACATTATTAGACTCATTGTCACCAAGATATGTCTTAAATATACTTTTGTGCAGTTTTGACCGTAAATATATAAAACAAAATTGGCAATGCCAAAACAGTTTCCATATTAAGGCTAACTATTTCTATCTGTAGTAATTGTTAAGTTCCAGAAAACACTCCTTGGTGTTATAGGTAAGGAAGTAATATTGATAAAATCACCGAACTATACTAAATTTCTTTATAGCATAAAATGTTTTTTTTTTAAATTAAACAACACAAACCAAACAAAACGAAAACCTTATTTTTTTAGGAACAATCAACAATAACTAAGCTTCTTGCTGAAATGACACAAGAGCAAAAAGATCAATACAATGAACTGGAAGCTACAGCCGCTGCGTTGAGAGAGGAGGTGGAACAAGCTAGAACCCAAATAGATCATCTGAATAGAGAAAAAGAGGAATTCAACAAAGAAATTTCTGGATCTCAGGTGAAAAGTAGTTGAAAAAAATGTGTTTCTGACCGCTCCTCCTGTTATTAATACAAGTAATCAAAATCAATATCTACTAAAATTAAATTTTAATTATAACAAATGTAGCACAATATGTAAAACATTAAGCAGTCAATGGAGCAAACTTTGAAGATAATTCTTCAAAGTTTGCTCCATTGACTGCTTAATGTATATATAAGCGGTAAGAGCTTGCGTTAACCCATTAACGCAAGCTCTTACCGCATATAGGAAAAATTAATCCGTTTAGAGTATAAGTATCCAGCATTTCTGGACTTCCAAGAGTTGCAGGCGTTCACGGAAGGTGGTAGTCACTTTCCATCAGGAGACCCGTCTGCTACTTTGCTCCCTCTCTCATAAAAAAGCTTTTAGCAGTGAATAAAATTGTAAAAGATTGAGAATGATATGTTCCATAAACACATTTTGAGTTACAGATTAAAGTTCACCTTCTGGAGCTTCATCGTCGATTAGCGGCAAGTGAAGAAAAACGTGATAACATTAAAAACGAAATGAACAATCGTTTAGATCCGCAAGAAGAGAGAGAAAAATTATTACTGCAGGTGACTTAAAGAGCCGTTTAACTTACTATGTAGGTATTATTTTCATATCCAATATTGATAAAAATGTATTGTGCTATTTAAAGGTTCGTGAAGATAATGCTGCCATTGCAGCTTTAGACAGTAATGCAGCAAACTTGAAAGAGCAAATAAAGAAAGTACAGGCGTTAATAGAGCAGGCTGAACAAGTAAGTGAATTATATGAGTTGTACTCATTGAGTAATAGTAAATTCAATGCGAAAAATAAAATAAGTGGATAGTAATCTAAGACTAGAAAAAATAACAGTTTTATAATAAGCGAGACAATAAGGTTAACTCCAAGATGAAACTGTGAGTCTGGTCCCAATCAAATTCTAGCATTTTGATGTTGCTTAGTTAAATCTGAGGATCATAGAAAACCAGCAAGTTGTTTTGGTTGCGATTTTGACAAAATGGCTATGGTCCAATTGAAACTTTACATTAAGTTATGGGTAACATTGAAGCCTAAATTTTAATCCATTTTATTGTTTTTTAATAATAAAGGTAACATCAGATAAACGCTAACAAAAATAATGAATCATATTTCAAATCGAGTTTCACTATTGTTCTTTTTGCGTAATTAAGTACAAAGTGAAATTCGGTTTGAAACATATTTGATTATTCTGCTCTAACTCAGCACAAGGCACTTTTTTAAGCTTTAAACACACAAATGTTATATTAATTGTGTTATAGGATCTCGAAGAAGGTAATTCTGATCGCCACCAAAAATATCGTGAGTTAAAGAAAAGAGAAGAAACAATTGACGCTTTCATGTCAACATACGAGGAAAATCTCAAAAAGGAGAAAGATAAAATAGAGCAATTAGAAAAAGATGTTGTTTTTGCTTTAGAGCATAGCAGTTCTAATATAGATTTGGATTTGAGTGAAATAGATTCGCTGAAACAAAAAGAGGGCTACATCTCACAGTATGACGATAGTAAGAAGTCTATTGATACGCTGACTAAGGACTACGAGAGATTCCAGGGCAATTTGAAAAAGGTAATTTATTTACCTAGAGAGACTAAAAGATGCAGAACGCTGTTGGATGTTTAACTAACACCGTCTATATTTGTTTTCTTTTGGATTGACAAACGCAAGATAATTAATAAAAAAAATTATTTTCGAGAAATTTTACTAAACAAAAAACCATTAAATGCGCTTGCTTGTTTATTTGTTCTCTGGTATATATAACAAAGGATATTTTACCGAAAAATTATCTACTGTTAATAGTGAATTACCGCGGATTTCTGTAACAAGTTATAGGGATAATTTTAATAGTTATACAGTTCTTACATATTTATTTAATATTTTTAGGCTGAAGCTACAAGAGAGAGATTGGCAACTGAACTACAAACACTGCCCGAGAAAACTAAGGTCATGAAAGAAGAACTCGTCACACTTTCTGATCTAGAAAAGCTTCGAGAAAACGGTTTGTTGCCTTTTGACTTATATCGCCTTATTATATCTACTACTTAATGCGTCACGGCGCTGAGTTTTAATGTCGCTACATTAGTACGAAACACTTTGAGCAACGAACATTAAAAATATTGTAGCATTCGAGAATCAAATGGAACACTTCACAAATACGTTCAAGAAATAAATTCATACATCTATTCAACAAATACGCCCATTAAAATGCTCAAGTTGCTTGAATTCCTTTTTCGGATGTAAGATCCAAACAGATCCTTTATACCTTGATGGCCGTAGGCTTACTATAGGTAATACATTAGTGAAACTGCTGTTATTAAAAAAATTTGCTTCTATTAGGTGAAGAACAGAAAAAAGTGTTGGAGACTGAGCTACACCAGTTAAGGGAGAAATTAGCACCGACTGAAAGTGCCGTCATAGAGGCTAATAACAAGCTGAAAAAACTACAGGTTTGTGTAAAATATCAGATTTGCTACTAAATATACTCGTACCTTAAGAATTAAGTATGAACCTTTTGCAATAATTTTACAACAGGAAGATAATCAGAAATCGGTATTTTAACAAGTTTCTCCAGAACCCACCCTTTGATTTTTATCACACATTAACTGCCTTTACTAGTCCACTGCATGACATAGGCCTCTCCTTAGAAAGGAGGTTCGGGCCCACTTGGCCCTTTCACTTTAACAAAACAAAACATGATTTTGTCCTTTGTTAAATTCTATACGCCATTCTTTTCAGACGAGTCTGGATGGCAACGAGATGTACGCCAAGTTAAATGCTCTGGAAGATCAACTCGCACAATTAGAGACTCGAAAGACCGTGTTGGAGGAAGACATAGCGTCTATCACTATGAAAGCTGACTACGAACCTTTAAAGAAACAAGCCATGGACGAACTGGCTTTGTTGAATAAAAGGATAATCGAGGACTTGAAAAATATCAAGTCTTATTAGGTAATTTAATTTTTAGTTGTTGATTATAGTTTTGAAGTGTGAAATGTGTGTTTAAATTATCCTTTCCCGTAGTTTGACTGTGTAAAATTTTATTAATTTGAATTCATTGGTTTGACATTTGAAAAGCGAGTGACTTCTCAGAAAAACAACTATTCAACACCTAAGAAACGGATAGGTAGGTACTGAAAATTAGGATGGACATATTTAAATGCTTTCATTGGCAGAATAAAAGTTATTGTTACAAGGTTTTTACTCTGCGTTCCAAATGCTTGTTAAAGTCAATTCAGCTGTGGAGGGATCTCTCTTCAAGTCTCGTAATAAATTCAAACATTAAACAAGTTGCGATATGATGTACCACCAAAGTGAGGGGGCTTATTTGTTGTCTTGGTGAGTACCGAGACAACAAATGAGCTCAAACTCAATGGGTTCATTTTGTTTAGTCAAGTTAATATGGTCGTCTGTCAGCTCCATTGTACCATATTATCGTATTGTCTTTAAAGATACATATGTATACCAAAATTTGAGCCTAACCACATCCTGGACATCGGAAAGTGATTCTAATTTAGTTTCTAAGATTCGTGCCGAACACACATAACTACATACACATTGCATTAAATAAAGACTTGTAAAAATAAAAATAAAAAAGTCTTATCTCGAACTCAAATAACTACTAGACCAATATAAAATTAAAAACAAACATTGTTCATTTTCTTTATTACGTCAATAATTTAATATCACAGACATTACAATTCTATACCTTATATATTAAACATAGACAATGTACAATTACAACTTTTAACACATTATTTTTATTTAGATGTAAAAGGAATCTAGTTGAAGCGTATCCAGGTTTTCATTCATAAACCCTCACGTAGAGAATACGGGGTGTATTCTATAGAATAAGATACGTTAATATTTATTTTATTCTATGGCCATTGTTTAATTTGAAAATGAAAGAAAATGAAATGTATGTAACAAATAAATGTACCAAAACATATGTCAGATAGGACCTTACCTATTTATACAAAACATTTTTATATAACAGAATTTTAAACAAGCGAACAGTTTCATTGGAACAGAACGTAATTGTTCTTACATAAAATTGAGCGGTTTTTAAGTCCTCTGAAGTTCACGTAGTTGATTTATAACGAACTAAACAGCTACTAAAATATGTTTATATACCATTTAACCCTTCGTAACTTTCTTCGCCTGTTTGTTGATTAGAACAGAAAGTTCCGTGGGAATATCTCTGTTGCTAGACTTGTACCATCCCCACAGGTTGTCAACAAACTTCTTGGAAGGAATGATGTCGGCCTCTTGCATGCGAATCCATAGCGCTTTTGCAGACACGAAGTCGTCGTTACGTACTAACAAAATAGAATAATATTAATAGTGAGCGGTAAGGAACATTAATTAGTTGTGGTAGGGATACACATACATACGTGATGCAAAAAATATAGATTAGGTACATTATTTTGTAAGAAAGTTTATGGTCAATTTTGTTGAAATCAATGTTTGTCTCAAGACTGACACTTAGGGACAGTTTTCAGAGCTTGAGATTTGACATTGAATGATAAGCTGTTATAATTTTCATTAATAATATTACTTAGTATTATTACTACAATAGAAATAATTACTTCCATCCTGTCTAATTTTGTAAGAAAATAAAAATATTACGTACTGTGAACGTCCAATATCAATTCATAAATCTCTTCGACATCAATATGCCTAAGGTCCCGCGCGCACTCGGCGATGTTTTCAAGCGCATGAGTTTTCTTCTCATCAGCGAACCGTTCGCAACGACGCTTCAACGCGTCGGGGTGGAACTTCAAGCTGGGGTCTAGGAGCATTTTGCGGAGAGTTTTCTTGTAGTTTACATCGGTTAATGCTGCTATTAATGTTAACTGGAAATTAAATAATACCGCACAATACATTAATACCGGTATTTGATGTAGTGAGTCTCACCTACATATTTTTGTCATATTTTCATAAAGGGCAACGAAATAATTCTTCTTTAATAGGAAATTTTAGTATTGATTTTAAGCCTAAGCCATAGCCTCCAATGATATAACATTAAAAACTTTATTTGAAGACTCATTTGCGAAAGAAATACATTCACACTTTTGACTATATGAATCTTAACACACTATACAATTATATAACAATAATTAAATAAAATAAAAACAATATTAAGTTTTTAACTTAAAAAGCCCTCACTGTGTTAACCCAACAGTTGACAAACATACTGTATATTACTAAATAACTTAAATACCAATATTTTACACATCATTTGGTTAGTTTTATAGTATTTGAACAAATGATCGTGTTTATCACACAATTGTTTTTCCTGGACGGGAATCGAACCCGCGACCTTGGGTCAGCATTAGTATAACTAACCATATTGAAGATCTTGTGGTCAGTGGACTAGTCAATCAAAAATACAACTTATAAAACGATAAATTTAACTCTACCTGTACATCTCCTGGCCCATGTACTCTTCTATCTATTTCTAAAACTCTCTGTACCAGCCTCTTGTACTTTCCATCACTCTTTTCGAGATTTATGAAGATATCCTCAGAGTGACCGTCGCCCATACTGTGTAGGATTTTACATAAGAGTTCATGTTTTAATGGCGTCTTGCTGTATTCCTCGGCCAATTGCTCAAATTTATCTACAGCCTCGTCGATATTCCCACTGCAATAAAAAGGTGCAATCCACAATTATACGACAAGAACGAACAAAAAAAAAATAGCCTAAGTTATTCCTTATGTAGACAGCTGCCTGGTCGAAAAATATTAACGAAATCGGTCCAGCCGTTTGGAAGATTACCCGAAAAAACAGACAGACAAAAAAAAATAAACTGGTTTTTAGGCTTAAGTATTGTGCAAATAACCGTGTAAGCATGAAAAAAACCTTTAATTTTGGCATTACAAACAGACACTTCAATTTTATTTATTTGTACTTATAGATTAGTGGTCCCGTGTTTTGGTTAAGTTCAAGGTCTGGTTTCCTGTGTATTTGATATATTACAAAAAACTAACTTTAACCAAAATGCACCTGTTCTCTTCCTGTTCTCTCTGCATCACCCAAAGGTTGACTGGTAGAGAATGCCTTAGGCATTAAGTCCGCCAATGCATCAAAAGTGCATGATGTGTAAAAATTAAATAATGTAACATTTAGATACACATAAAATTTGATGCTATCTCTATCCTATAGAGGCATTCTGTAAGTATGACAAGAGGCTTCTTACCTTTTCAAGTGTACTCTGACAAGAGGCCCAAGTAACACATTGCTGGGCTTGCAGTAGTTATACTTGATAAGCAGGTCGAACATGTCGCGAATGTTTCTTTCTGTCCCCTGGGCCGCTGTGGCGTCGAGTAATCGCCAGCAGTTCATTGTTATGCTTCTCCCACCTTTTACCTTCCTGCGAGTACGAATAAAAATAAGAATTAATGCGAAACAAAATTTGGAAAGAAATTAAAGATACGCAAAACCCAAAGGAAAACACAAATCCATGATAATTGATTAAATTGGATCCCCGTATCCATCAATTATATAGGTTAATAATTACATATAATAATAATTTTATTATATTAATTAATATTATATTAGTCTGATCCTAAACTAAACAGCCTATATGTATATTTCTAATTAAAACATGTCTACAAAATATAAACATATTTTTTTTATGTTAGAGGGGGAAGACGAGCAGATGGATCTCCTGATGGAAAGTGACCATCGCCGCCCATGAACGTCTGCAACTCAGGAGTCACTAACGCGTTGCCGGCCTTTTAGGAAGGAGTACGCTTTTTTCTTGAATATTTGAAGGTATAGAAAAGTTACACCCAGACACAGAACAAATGGTCATTGTTGTGCTCATCAAATGTATATAACGTAATTAACTAATTCAATACATTATATTAATAAATACAATGATTATATCTGTGATCCTAATGGATTAATGTGTGTACGAAATTGGGGTGCCTAATAGCAAAACAAATTAGTACTTCAATTTGTGAGAAAACAATATAAAACCAAACAAAACTGACCGTTTTTTAGACTGCTCATGAATTAAATTAAAGGCCTTCTGGATCTGTTTCTTGTACACCATCAGCGTTGCAAAGTCAATAACTTTGAACTCGTCCAAATTGAAGTTGGGGGATGTCTTATTGAGATCAGCTATCATTATTTCTGCCAAGTCTAGTTCGCCAAGTTTGACGTGAAGATCAAAGATGGCGGCTTTCATGCCGGCTGAGAGAAACATCTGTAATTTTTATAGAAAGGTTTTACTGTCTGTTGTTCACGTGTAAACCATTTAGCTTTTAGAGTATGAAGACAGTTTTTTTTAGCTTTTAGAGTATGAATTATGGCTAATTGCTATACATTATGGCTAATTGATGTACATTATACAAAATATTTTTACCTTACAAAAGGCGTATTTTATAAAATCTCAGTAATTAATAAAAAAATATGACTGTGCCCTTATGCATTCTTCTGGAATTTGCCAATGCAAAATGGCAAAGTGTTTGACTATACTAATTATAAATTAGTATAATTTAAATGAACCTGGTTATACATACGTATAAAGCGACAAAGATACAAAAAGGAAACACCTAAATATATAGCTTATTGACGAAAATACTCATTTTTGACATTTTTTTCTGTGCGGAAGTCCCTTCGGATACCACTTACCGGTAGCAGTGTCGGACTCGAACCGACTAAAACCGCACGCCGTCTCAGGTAGCAGTAGTCGGGGAATCAGGTGTACCCTAGAAAGGAAATCCCTGGTGACCCGACGTACTCATTTTAGACCTAGTTATTTAGCTAGTGTGTAGCACCGACTTACTCCTTCGTTCTGACACTTCGTGGCAATATCTCTTGCAGCCTTAAGGTTACCATCCCTACAGTACTGTTGTAATAATTTTCTCAGCACCCCTCTGGTATTCATTCCCTTGGCTTCCAGTTCAACTAGATGGGCGCGAAGGGATTCTTCATTCATTTGTTTCTAAAATAAAACACAGCACGATTTTGTATTAAGTGCAACTAATGCCTCTGCCTTAGGCTAATGTGGTCTTGGTGACGGAGACAGAACAATATATAAATAAACATAAATCGATGTTGAACTATTCCGTGATTTGACTAATCAAAAGAAAGCTAATTTTGGATAAATTAATCACATCAACAGCCTTACATAGTCCACTGCTGGACATAGGCTTCTCCTTAGAAAGGAGATTTTGGCCTACTATACCAGGATGGCCAGACGGGTTGGTATAGTGTTTCTACCTTAAAAAAAAAACCGTTGGTGATGGTAATATTTTACACGAAAGAAAGAAAAAATTAAAACTTACCACCACAATAGTTTACTCCGGTTTTATAGCCCGGTCCGTCATGGCGCTTGCGCGTCGCATATTTGTAATGTATATTAATATTATAAATGTATAGTTTGTATTTCGTGTTGAACGCGCTAATCTCAGGAATTAGTGATTCGAATTGAAAGAATCTTTTAGTATTGTATAGCCCATTTATCGAGGCAGGCATTTAATATATAAAGGCTATATAACATCAAGCTGCGACCAATGGGAACTGAGCATCAAAGAAAAATGTCAATGTGTAATAAATTATAAAATGACATTTTAAAGTTCATGATTTACATTTTCCGAATGCCTATTGTCAAAAGTCTCTTAGTATTATATTTCCTGATAATAACATTATATCCTATTAGGCCAACTTATGATTAATGTTTTGTAGTCAAGTACTTACCGGATGGACAGACATTTGTTGATCAAACACATCACCATCATCAATGACACGTTCATCAGTAAGACCCATAACATAGTCTCTAAACTTGGACACAGTTTTTCCATTATATTTGTCTGGCAAGCGATATATACAATAGTCGCCTGCGATGGTCGATATTCTTAATGATGTCGTTGTTAGCCTCTAGAAATATAAACGAAAAAAATGGGGTTTGTTTCAAGTTTTTCTTCTCTTTGCAGTGCTGTTGTTCTGTGTGGTTTGCCCCCTTAGTTGGCTCTTACGACACCCACGGGATGAATAAGGGTGGCGACACTGTATTTTTAATCCGTCACCACTTGTATGTGCTTATTATATTGGTAATTCGAAATGCAAAGAACTGAATAAATTGGCTTCTAGCCATAATATCTCTTTCACATCTGTATATAATTATGTATTGTTATAAATTACCTTCATAAGATTCACGATATCACTAATATCTTCTTTAATCTTCTTATGCTCCATGAACTTGCACAAGAACCGACCGACCCAGTCTTTGTTCTTGTCTGAAGCTTTTGCAGTGATATCTTCTAATGCGTGTACAGTTGACTTCACATCGGCACTGATTAAGTAGCCCTTCAGAAGAGGTTGCAGGAGTTTTTCTGCATCGACTTTGCCTTGGAATAATTCACCTGAGTGGGTGGTAATATTTTAGTAAGGATGTTTTGTATTATTTACCGTATCGTCACATTTAGCACTTCAGCTTTTGGGCCCGGGGGGGAAGAATAGGACTAGCACACGGCCGTCTGACCCCAAACTAGGCAGAGGCTCTATTATGGTAACCAGACTGCTGACAAACATACTAATATACTTCTAAATTCTTTTTTTTTAATATATTTAAAGATAAATTATACACAGCTTAAAAACCATTGGGTCTCAATTCTGCTATTTTAATATTGTAATCAATAGAGTGTCGTCGGAATAGTTTTGCATTTTTCGTATTTTACTAACTATGTATGTACCAATGGCCGATGATCTGTCACTGAACTGCCATTGATACATACGGTACGGTACATTTTAAATTTGTAAGGAAATGATATATTTATGTTAGTAGAATATGGATATTTTGACCAATGTCACTGGCATCTCAATGACACCTTAATACCGTGTCAATGGAATGACAGTGGCTTGTACGTTAACATAAAATAGTAGAATTGAGGCCCTGGTCGTGCTCATCACACAGTTATTTGTCCACGTTGGGAATCGAACCCAAGACCTCTGGCTTAGCAGTCAGGATCACTAACCGCTAGACCAACAGTCCTATCGAAGTAAAGTAAAATGCAAATAACAATTTTAATTCAATAAGTTAAGAAATAACTCACATAGCTCCGACGCTGCTCGGACTTGTCCCGTAACTAATAGCGTAACCATCATAGGTGTCAAAACCGTTGACATAGACAGACCAGCTTCTAGAAACTTCTTCATTAAATTTTGTGGAGATGTAAAACTCACGAACGGCAGTGTGTATTCCATGATCGTCTCATAGTCGATGCTCACATCCATTTGTACCATTGTGACAAGGGTATTGATAATACCTGTAACGTTCCAGGAATAAGATTCACAACACATCAAAAGCCTTTAATAGGCCACTCGTTAGAAAGAAGGTTTTGGCTTGTGAAATGTATGGTCTTCAGATAATTCTTCTACCTAACGGTAAAAGGGTTCCCACACTTTCAATAATAGCCAAATCGAGTTACAGGACCATGGCCTGTTCGAGCTATTGCCTAGATTCCCTAATCCGACTGTAAAAGCAATATCCATTTCCTATCATCACTTCTCTTCTTATCTACCTCTCGTTTAAAAAAACTTCGCATCTAATTCCTAAAATGCCTGGTTGAAGGCAATATGCTTGCTTGCTTTGTATATATATATATATTTCGTATGTATATACAAAATGGCTGTTGATGGTAGATCAAGAACCAATTGCAAATATTGTGGCAGATTCGTCATTATCATCAACAGCCCTTAAGACCACTGCTGAACATCTGAGGCCTCTCCTTAGAAAGGGAGTTTTGGCCTACTGTAACACGCTGGCCGGACGGGTTCAAATGCTGTTGTCCTGTGTAGTTTGCTCAATTAGTCGCCTGTTACGACACCAACGGAATGAATTGGGGTGGCGACACTCCGTATTCTTAATCGGTCACCACACAGACAAGATTATTTAAAATATATTATTCAAAAATAACATTCCTCCTGAAGTCTGGTTTTTGTTAAGTTTTGAAAAAGATATTTAAGTATTTTTTTACTATCGAACGATTGCCGATTTGACGATAGAAAAACATCATGTCTGTTTTGTCACGTCTGTATACCCCTGTAGTAAGACTACTAGTAATACAATAACATAGTTTCCTCAGGCTTCTGGAAAAAATATGTTCTTTATATAAAATAGATAGGAAAAAATAAAGGCAGTACCTTTCTCGCCGTAAGTCTTAGCGTTATGCAGCATAATTGGCCAGAAATAATGCGCCCTTATAGGCAAGCCTATCTGTTTCATTCTAGTTAACATATCCAGGGCCAGAGGTGTCTTCCCAAGCTGCAGAGCTGCTTCAGCTGCATTTTGCAAAGCAATGGGATTTCGTCCTGTTGACATCAGATCCTGAGTAATAAAACCTATTATGCTGGAAGGCTGAAAGAATGTAAGAATTTATTTTAAATGTGTAGTCAAATTTTAAAATCGTTATGTGTAGCCGACAAGTTATTCACGGGGATGAGATTGGAGTTTATAAACTGACTGCCTTGTTACGCAAAGACAACAAAAGAAAGAAGAAAATAGTGACATCAAGCCCTATCCCCTGACAAATCAGATGGTCAATTCTCGTAATAAATGTTCGGTCAAAATTCAGTTACGATCCACTCTCGATCTCACAACTGCCATTAAAGTTATTTTCGTAGCTAAGTAGTAAACATCCAACGTTGACTATAATGTGATTACATAGTAGTGTGATTGAAAATTGAATCGAAATCTGATAGTCATAGACTATGACTATCAGATTTCGATTCAATTTTCAAGTTGCAGTTGTGAGATCGAGAGTGGATCGTAACTGAATTATGACTGACCTTTATAACTAGAATTCGCCTTCAGGTATCAAGAAATTATCGTTTCGTACGAAAGCTCGGAACCTGATTAATCACGGTGTGGAGATTGATCGATGCGTCACTATTTTCTACAAAGAAAATTCTGGTGGCGATAGGATTATTTAAGATAATTATAGTACTTACTATTGCAGCCTTCACACAATCCCTAACAAGACTCCGGCCATGCAACCCTCTATCATCTTTGGGACCAAACGATGGCAAGGGTAGACACTTGTAAATCTCAAGAGCAGCTATTGGATGATTTTGGAAAACTAGCATAGTTGTAACACTCTGCATGTACGGTGATATCGATGGTGTTCGTAAGGTTTCTGTCGGCAGATATTTGAGGACCTGAAAAATAAAATGATCATTTCCTAAAAATCATTAAGAATAAATACATTTAGACAACTCCATGTCCATTTACTTGCATATCGTGCTATTAGACCGGATCCGAAATATCGTTGTTATACAAGCGGAGCTATGTCTGAAAACCTGTATCGTTAGCTGCCGCTACTGGCCGCTAGGCCATTAGCTTAAATGACGTAACGCATTTTAATTTTAGCCGTCGTCGGTCTTAATGATGGGAATGTTAAAGTTTTTGCAATTCATCCTTTTTCTTTTTTTTTCAAACTAGCTTTTGCCCTGGCATTTTGTAACGGTGCATTTCGCACCATTACAGTAATTTGAACCTTAGTCTTGCTTTTGTTTTGTTATGTTGAATTTTATGTCGTTTCTGCGAGTGCCGATGGTCGAGGGGCGGACGAGAGTAATAATCGATGTTGTTCGCTCGCGTTAGTTAGTCGATTTAGTTTTTCTTGTCCTGGCAACATTTTTTTTTCACGTTCTAGGGAACGACAAGCTTTTGCTCGGGCAACACGTTAGGACTTTTGGAATTTCGGCCGAGTGAAATGAAGCGAAGCTAGTCTTTGTAATTTAATTTATTAGTAATCCTTATTTATTTGATATGGACGAGGGCCTGTTTCCTCTTTAAATGTTTGGCCAACCTAGTTAAGACTCGAGCTATTGGTTCGAGTGATTATTTTTATTGAAAAGGAAATGCTTATAATGCCGCTGCTTAGTTTGTGAAACATTTTGGGACCCTGATGAATCAGGGTTTTTTTTTTTAGTTTATATCTAAAGTTTTAATTATACTCTAATTTTCCTTTTATACCTAAATTTCTTTACTTTCTTATTGGAATGTCATGGCGTGGCATTCGGATTTTTGTCTCTCGCCGGAGTTTAACCCCAAGAAATTAGTTTGCTGTGGAGCCCCGGAATGGTAGAAAAAGCTGCTTAGCTGTACGCCATTGTCTGGAGCCTGGGAGTGCTAACCCGCCTCTTCCACCACGTGGGAACCGCAGTGAGAAGTTTCGGAGTTGGTTTGATTTCATTTCATTCGGACTGGACCAAGGTCATCGGTATGTGTTTTGTTATTTTTTTCTTGGAGACGTGGCATTGAATACTGCAGGTCCCCAAGGGGGGTTATTTTTTATTAGAGAGTAGGTCAATGCTATGTCTACCCTTAGAGTTTGTTGTTTTGTCTATTAAGTCTTCATGTGACTTTTAAAACTTATTTAACCTTATATTTTTATTGGAAAGGATTGCATTAATGACAGTACTAATTTGTGTATAAGAATTACCTATTGTAATTAGAGACATAAGACACATTGTACTCTACAGACACTACGGGACAATAAACAGCCATTAGAACTTAACATCTTGTATTCATTAGCTGCCTCCCGCCCTGGGTTAAAAAGGTTCAGTGTTGGCCGAGTGGTCCGAGGTATTTGTTGTGTTTGTGGTGGGTTCTGTGTTCTTTTAAGGTGGTATCTGGCGCCCGAGACTCTTATTTTGTTATTTTGTTTCTATTTGATGCCACCAGTCTAGATTTTATTTTCTTTAAAACAAACCCAACACACATAAAATAATTTTTATTATTTTTTATTATTACAATTGTCGCCAGCGCTCAGGGACTGAAGTAGTGTCTGTGGGTTAATTAGATAACTGATTAGATACTGTCTTTACTGCATCCTACTTTTGTACTACATACCTTGTGTATTACTTGCTTTGTAATTTTAATTGTATTATCATTAAGTGAGGTTATTTTTTACAATTTTTCAACATTAGTTTACAACATTGTGACTTTCCTTCACAATGTTATTTTTGCTTTAACAAACAACAATAATTTAAGTTATACTGCTGCCTATTGTATTCTCAATTAAGGGTATAGTTACTGAAGCATTTTGTGTTACAATTTAATGGCTTTGTATGTTAATTATAAGTCTGCTCAAGAAACATTTTATAGATACCTCCACTTTGGAATTATTATAATATAACTTAGTGTAAATTAAGATTAACTTAACTTAGCTTAACCTTACTGTTATTATTTAGTTACTAGAACAATTGTTAGTGGTTACTGCAATCCTTAAATCCTTTTTAATACAGAACTTAGATATTTAAATTAAAACTTAGCCTTTTTTCACTTCACTTTTAAATCAATTTAGACTTTTCTTCACAATATTCAACTCTTAAATAAATTTGAACCTGGTTGTTCACAACATTTAACTTTTAAATAAATTTGAACTTATCCTTTCATAACATTTGGCTTTTGGATAGTTTAAACTTAGGTTTTCACAACAGTGACTTTTGAATAAATTTAAACTTAATTAACTTTAAAGAACCGCACCTTTGAACGGCTGTTTTGGAATTTTGTGGTTAATGTCGGTTTGTATTATGGACAAGGAGGCTCCACCTTCAACGTGGCCTGCCAATGTGGATGTTGGCACAGCTGCGGATGAGTCAGCGGAGATGAGCGTCCCATTAGATTTGTCATATGTTCGTGATACTCCTGCTCTTGCACCAAATCTTTTAAATTTGAAAGGGTACAGTCCAACGCTGTCACCTCTGACAATGATGGCGTTGTGTGTTTGAAGAGTGAGTCGGCTGGTCATTCTTATAGGAATTGTCCTTCTATCCCTGGCGTGATCTGCTTCAGGTGCCGGAAAGGGGGGGTTATCACAAGTTTGTGTGAGGTGTGCAATTCGGCCAAGGTGAACCCTAACGGGGCAAAAAACTGATTAGTTTCCATCGAGCTCGGGTTCCTGAGGAACCTAAGGATGTCTCGATGGTTAAAGAAATTATTAGTCACACTGAAAGGCCCGACAAAGCCTCATGCCGTAGGGAATTTTTGGACTGAGTGGAATACCTAAAAACTTAATTTCGCACTTATAGGGCTGCGCCTGTTTTATTTGTCAAAAAATAATGATTCTCGACCGTATTTAAAATTTTCAGTTAAAGGGGATAAATTTTCGGGTTTATTGGATAGTGGGTCCAGCGGTTGTATTATAGGTTCTAATAGTCACCAACGGGTTCTTAAATTTGGTTGTCCTAAATTAATAGTTTGTGATAATGATACTCAATTCACTTCTGAACATTTTGTAGATTTCATGAAAGGTTACAACATTACTAAATTTTTTATAACACATTGTACACACCCCAAAATAACCCTGTGGAGAGGTACAATAAGAAGGTAGAGACTTGTATTCCATGTTTTGTTAAAGAGGACCAACATTCTTGGTCTAAATTTTTGCCTCACGTTCAATTAGCTTTAAACAGTAGTGTAAATTTGGCTACTGATTTTACTCCTAATTTTCTTATGTTTGGTAGAGAGTTGATTGTTGATGCTTCTCTACACCGTTTTGGTAAATTTTTTTGTTAGTTTAGACCAACTTGAGTTTGTTAAAGGGATTTTTGTGCCCTTTCTTTTGGATCACTTAGTGATATTTTTTTGTTAGAGTTGAGTCACATTTGTTAAAAGCGCATTGCTTTATATTAAAATTATTAATATTATTTGTTGCTATTATATATTAAAATTGTTAATATTATTTGTTACTATTTCTATTTCTTTTGATGTTGGTGATATTGTTTGGATAAGAAGTTTTATTCAGTTTTAGCGCTCCAGCATATTTCGGCAAAGCTTGCACCTAAGTTTATTAAATGTAAAATTATAGAGAAAATTTCAGATAACGTTTACCTTTTGCAGGACCTTTCAAAGAACACCTCTGGTCGCTATCATATTAAAGATATTATTAAATATTAAAATTTCACTATTTGGTCATTAACTTTTGGGTCTTAATTTGATATATTTGTTGGATTCTACCTTTGTGCGAGGAAGTATGTAAATGGATGTATGCTAGATTATGGTACTTTGTATGTTGATGTAGTGAGAGGCATTCTTACCGATATATTAATTTTAGGGTTTAAAAGTTCAAAAGTTTACTTAGGTCTTTTTGGTTTATTAATTTAGGAACTTCATTCATAATAGGAACCACATCAAAAGAATATTTTGTTTGTATTTTATTTGCGTTTCTACCTAGTGTAGAGTGTTTTTTTGGAGTTAGGTTCGCCCTCTTTTCAAGGGTTGAACGGGTTGTTTGTTGGATTCACACTTTTTTTCAGGTGTTGAATGATTTGTTTCTTGTTGGTTTCACACTTTTTTTCAGGTGATGATTGGTTTGTTGGTTGGATTCACGTTTTTTCAAGCGTTGAATATATTTTTGTTTGGTTTCTGTTGTATTGTGCCCGGTAGTTCGGTGGTGTTGTGCCGATCACAATGCACAGGTTTTTTAAATATTCTCCCCGCCTTGTTGGGATGAATATTTTGTTTGGTTTCTGTTGTATTGTGCCCGGTAGTTCGGTGGGGTTGAGCCGATCACAATACACAGGTTTTTTTATATATTCACACCGTCTTGTTGTGTTGAATATTTTTGTTTGGTTTCTGTCGTATTGTGCCCGGTAGTTCGGTGGTGTTGAGCCGATCACAATACACAGGTTTTTTATATATTCACACCGTCTTGTTGTGTTGAATATTTTTGTTTGGTTTCTGTTGTATTGTGCCCGGTAGTTCGGTGGGGTTGTGCCGATCACAATACACAGGTTTTTTATATATTCACACCGTTTTGTTGTGCTGAATATTTTTGTTTGGTTTCTGTTGTATTGTGCCCGGTAGTTCGGTGGGGTTGTGCCGATCACAATACACAGGGTTTTTATATATTCACACCGTCTTGTTGTGTTGAATATTTTTGTTTGGTTTCTGTTGTATTGTGCCCGGTAGTTCGGTGGTGTTGAGCCGATCACAATACACAGGTTTTTTATATATTCTCACCGCCTTGTTGTGAAGAATATTTTGTTTGGTTCGACATTTTTGTAATGTGTTTTCATTTCACTAATGTTAGGGTGAAGCATTGTTTGCAGCTCCATTAGAGTCGGTGACGAGGGTGTCCAACCGCACTTCGTGGATACTGGTATCTTTTTAGATATACAGTTCCCAATGGAAGCAGTTTGTGAAGTGTATTTCGTTGTAGTTTGCAGCTCCATTAGAGTTTGTGACGAGGGTGTCCAACCGCACTTCATGGATCTTGGTATCTTTTTAGGTATGCAGTTCCCAATGGAAGCAGTTTGTGTAGTATATTTCGTTGTGTTTGAAGCTCCATTAGAGTCGGTGACGAGGGTGTCCAACCGCACTTTTTGGACTTTCCAGTCCTAATGGTAGCTTGGTTTAGGGATTTGTTTTTGGGTTTGTGTGATTCTGTTGTAGAGTTTATTTTGATCTTGTATTTAGTTTCCTAGTCCTTTTTGGCGTATGGATTTTTGTATTCCTGGAGTTTGTAGAGTTTTAGTAGAGTTAGTTTTGGAGTTTAGATTTTTTGCAATCTTTTTGTTTGATATGTTTGTTGAGTAGTGACTTTTCAGCATAAAAGAAAGAGTCCTTTCTTTTATTTTTTTTTGGGAAGGTATGTAATGTAACGGTGCATTTCGCACCATTACAGAAATTTGAACCTTAGTCTTGCTTTTGTTTTGTTATGTTGAATTTTATGTCGTTTCTGCGAGTGCCGATGGTCGAGGGGCGGACGAGAGTAATAATCGATGTTGTTCGCTCGCGTTAGTTAGTCGATTTAGTTTTTCTTGTCCTGGCAATATTTTTTTTTCACGTTCTAGGGAACGACAAGCTTTTGCTCGGGCAACACGTTAGGACTTTTGGAATTTCGGCCGAGTGAAATGAAGCGAAGCTAGTCTTTGTAATTTAATTTATTAGTAATCCTTATTTATTTGATATGGACGAGGGCCTGTTTCCTCTTTAAATGTTTGGCCAACCTAGTTAAGACTCGAGCTATTGGTTGGAGTGATTATTTTTATTGAAAAGGAAATGCTTATAATGCCGCTGCTTAGTTTGTGAAACATTTTGGGACCCTGATGAATCAGGGTTTTTTTTTTAGTTTATATCTAAAGTTTTAATTATACTCTAATTTTCCTTTTATACCTAAATTTCTTTACTTTCTTATTGGAATGTCATGGCGTGGCATTCGGATTTTTGTCTCTCGCCGGAGTTTAACCCCAAGAAATTAGTTTGCTGTGGAGCCCCGGAATGGTAGAAAAAGTTGCTTAGCTGTACGCCATTGTCTGGAGCCTGGGAGTGCTAACCCGCCTCTTCCACCACGTGGGAACCGGAGTGAGAAGTTTCGGAGTTGGTTTGATTTCATTTCATTCGGGCTGGACCAAGGTCATCGGTATGTGTTTTGTTATTTTTTTCTTGGCGACGTGGCATTGAATACTGCAGGTCCCCAAGGGGGGTTATTTTTTATTAGAGAGTAGGTCAATGCTATGTCTACCCTTAGAGTTTGTTGTTTTGTCTATTAAGTCTTCATGTGACTTTTAAAACTTATTTAACCTTATATTTTTATTGGAAAGGATTGCATTAATGACAGTACTAATTTGTGTATAAGAATTACCTATTGTAATTAGAGACATAAGACACATTGTACTCTACAGACACTACGGGACAATAAACAGCCATTAGAACTTAACATCTTGTATTCATTAGCTGCCTCCCGCCCTGGGTTAAAACGGTTCAGTGTTGGCCGAGTGGTCCGAGGTATTTGTTGTGTTTGTGGTGGGTTCTGTGTTCTTTTAAGGTGGTATCTGGCGCCCGAGACTCTTATTTTGTTATTTTGTTTCTATTTGATGCCACCAGTCTAGATTTTATTTTCTTTAAAACAAACCCAACACATATAATATAATTTTTTTTTATTTTTTATTATTACAATTTTTTTTTCTTTTTGCTTGCGTAAGAATGATTTTTAAACTAGTTTTTATTTTTTTTTCTAAAGGCGAGATACCCTATGTTCTTTTCTTTACTCCTGACCAAAGTGCATAGGTGTATAAGGTGTAAACAAATACACTACACCTCAACCAACTACTTCAACTTCAACAACTTCAACCTAACCTAACTAAAGTTATAAAAACTTTAGTTATGATTTTGGAATGCCAAAAGAAAGAAAGTAAATATTTATTTTGGCAACTACACAAACAAAGACTAATTTTTACTAGAAAGAATAAAAATAGCAAAGAAAAAAAAATTGGGAGTTTATCATTTCTGCTCACTTGGAACACCACATCTTCGGCCTGACTAAGCGGAAACCGCCTCTGCTAATAGTCAGTTGTCAGTGCGCAGAGATCAAACCATAAAACTATTTAATATCTTTGTAAATTAAATTCATAGTCAATCGTTTTTAGACTTCATATTTCAATATATATGCTAGTTACTTTTTGTATGCCGACACCAGTTGAGTAAGTACCTAACGTCTTTCTGAGGGAGTTACATTAACTACTCTACAAATTTTAAACATTTTTATTTATCGGATTTGGTTGATTTTAATTCCTTGCTTTTAACCCATCAGAAATACGCAAAGTAAGATTTTTTATGACATCCCACACAAGATAAAAGAGGCACGTCAAATTTGCCCTTTTCTTACAGAATGAATCAATTCACTTTAGTTTTCCTGTTTTTTTTTATTAGAACGGTGAAGTCTTCTTGCTAGTTTTTCTCTTAAAATAGAATCCAGGCGTATCCGTAAGGCTCCAACAGTAATCTGCGAGCATATCTGACCCCATTCTTCCTTGAAAAAGATTTTCGATTGCAGTTACATCTTGATGAAAGTGTTCCCCGTATTCTAACGCTAACTAAACTTATAATTTAGGAACAAAAATCGTAACGTGAGTGAAAGAAATGCAGTTTTAACTACATATTGCATCCCATGTTATGGTAAATCCACTCCAAGATCAATCTTTAGCGAAAGTCAGTGAATTTATTGTGACCAAGGATATTTTGTCATATCAATAAATTGTAAGCATTTTTGTTACATCAGTAAATATAATGACCTCGACGTAGTTTACAAAGCAGTCACTTTAAGATTTGCAGAAATTAGTTTCATAACACAAATGTTTCCTTCGAATGATTACAGTGCCCATAAATGTCAATAATCATTATTGAAATCAACAACTTTGCTTATTTCAAATGTTTTACCAGGTCATTCGAGTTGCGTCCGGCCCACGTCTCGTCACGATATCTAGATTTCTAAGTCTCGGTTACAATATAACAAATAACACTTTTTAATTACCTGCGTCTTCAAAATCTTAAATACCTACACCAAAAGTTATATTTGTCAAAAATAAATGATTTTAATTATACATGTTCCAATTCAAGACCTAAGATCAAATCCCTTCGGATATTGTTACCCAGGCATTTTTACTCAATCTCAATAAAAAAAATATCAATGTATATAACTTTTAGCGTTGAGTAGCTTAATTTATATGACAGCAAACATTTAAAAACCCTATCCCGAAATAGCTGTGGAAATAATGTGAATTAATCAAAGAAATTTGACATACCTGAGGTATTGGCGCATAGCAAGCAACTGCCGACAAAGTTTTGACAATTTCCATAATATGAACCTCAGTGAACCGAAAACCTAGACGTATAGCTTGAGACATACTAGCGATCATTGCGTCCATTTCCTTATTAAAGGCTAAGGCTCTTGATATTGCCGTGTACGTGTCTACTGTAGGGTTTATTTTCAGAGATTTCATCATGGATAACACCTCTTGAATATTTTGGGTGTTTCTGAAATAAAATATAGTCATTTAACTAGGAAAAATGATCAAACAATATAATTATTGAAAAGAAACAAAAAAAAAACGGATTCATGAAAAACTATATTTAAAAGTTACAAACAATTAAGTCGCATCGCCATCATCCATCAAACCATTGAGGTTACAAAGCGCGCTCAATGAATATAGGTAGGTACATACATATTACATCGATCGATCGGTCGATCTTACATATGAGCAACGCTGTGTAACATTACATTTTCTACCCTTGTATATTAGGCGTAATATTTCAGACCTAGTATTCCTGCTCAGTCTTGCTCAGGGCAAGATCGATTGCCCTAATCTACTCAGTATGATTAGGTTAGGAACACCCGTTAGAAGATTGCGTGACAACTCTTTACTTTATCTTCCGTCGAGCCACACCAACTTCAGAAAAAATAGCTATCTGCCTAGAGTTTACACCGAGTTGAACAAGCTAAATAGTGACAGTGGTTTTGATCTTTTTAGTACAGGTACTGGTAGTGCTAGATCCTATTTAACCGTCAGATTTGCTGATAGTGTTGCCTGCACTACTGCAGTGTGAGCTGTGACTCTTGGTTCTGCATGTGTTTCAATTTGTTTTCATCTATTTACATCTTTAGTAATTTAATTAGAATGTAACTTAAGTAGAATGTTTCTTGTGTATCTGTGGAAGCTTGTTATTGGTTTTTCAACAACTAAATTACTGATGTACTTGTACAGTAGCTGTAAGCTCCCCAAATAAAATAAAATAATAAAATAAAATAAAATAAATAACCAGAGATTGTGGCGCAGTCGGGTAAAAATAAAATATATAACAATGGCGGTCTACAAATTGGCAGGTTATATTACACGATCACAGGCATCCAGGGCATGAAGAAAACAAATAGAAATAAATTATATAAATTTAGTGACTGACGGCCTGAGTGCGCTGACTACCTCGGTGGTGCAGTGGTGGCGTATGGTCTCGGGCTCGATTACAAATATTTGGTCCCTGGGACCCGGGGGTCGGACCAAATATTTGTATGATATTTGTTTCGGAGTTTGGGTGTTTTCTATGTATAAATATGTATAAAAATCACCTGGGTCCAGATCTGGCCCAAGTGATTTTTATGTGTTCCCTAATTTAAAAAAGACTTGAGGGGAATGAAATTTTCCGACGAGAACGAGGTAAAGGACATAACTTTTGAATAAGGCAGTCATGATAGTTCGGAACACAATAATACACTCGCAAGCGTGTAAATCGCATCCAAGCGTTTGTAAAGGCTTGGAGCTTGTGGACGTTTTCCAAACCCCGGCAAGCGTGTAAACGAGGCATTAGAGTACTCTATATACAAAACATTTTATTTTTTTCTTGACCTAAAAATGTAGATTGCAAATTATCATGCAAAACATGAAATCAAAAAAAATTACATATTTTTAGATGCCATAAAAATTTATGCAGAGTAATTTACCTTAGTTTTCCTTGACAAATAATCAGTGAATTAAATATGTGTTCATTTGCTGGCAATCCTTGTGATTTCATATTAGATATTACTTCTGTTGCTTGATTCAAATCACCAGCCTGTAACAAAATTGTAAATTATATTCAAGTGTTAATGCAAATGATGTTAAAAATAAAATGTTAAGTTAAATAAGGATATAGCAATAATTCCCAAGTAAATATTAGTTTTGTTTCAAGAATATACTATTTGCCAATAGTGGAAAAAAAGTATGGGCCTCAAATAATACAATTTTGTTTTTTTTTTTGTGGCAGAGGGGGCAGAGGAGCAGACGGATCACCCTGGAAAGTGACTACCGCCGCCGATGATAGCTTGTTTAACAGATTAGTTGTGCAAGGCAAAAAGTGTCTTGAAAAGCACGGAGTGGTGGACCGCCAATTATGAAAATTTTGCCGTGTTTGACGATGGTTGCGCCTTGTAAGTTGTCCTGATTTTACTTTATATTATATATCTTATATATCCTAAATGTTTACTTTGAAACAGAAACTTGAACAATATTTTTTTTTACCTCAAAGACACCATCTTCTTAACATTAGAATAAAAATAAAACAAAAAGCAAGCAAACTGGCCAAAATGCAATATTCTGAATTTAAAAAATGTGTGACTGTTACCTCTCCAAGGGCTCTCAATATTAGCTCATATGTAGTATCAGTGGGTAAAATGGGGGCCATCTTTGTCAAGAATGAACTTGCTGTCAAAGTTCTGTTGTTTGCAATATACACTTTCAGCAACTCATTATAATGTTCAATTTCAAATTTGGTGTGCGGCCTGCAACAGTTATTACAATTTTTTATATAACCTTTATTTTTAGTTAATAAACTAGAACATCATTCTAACAAACTTTTAATATCTCTACATAATATCAATGAAAAATACACTACAAAAATATTGTCTTGAAAAAAAGTCATCATCACCAGCTTATCGCAGTCCACTGCTGGAAATAGGCCTCTCCCATTGCACGCTACTTAAATCAACTGTTAGGTTCTCTCTCTCTTTTGAAAGACAACTCTCATTGGGAATGTATATTGTGTGGCGGGGGACTTAACAAACATACATGAAACGGACACAAGGAACACCCAGAGTCATAACAACAATTTGTCACATGTGGGGATCGAACCCACAACACTCAGCGTAGTAGGAAGCGAGGCGACCGTGGTGCAGACCGTGGTGGAGGTGCAGTAATTAACTGCATAACCCACTCATTACAATAATATAAACATCAACTATGCCTAATATCAACATCATTAACCCTAAATAAAGATACAGAAACAAGTATTTTAGCTTACTATGCTAGTGCTACTTAGTAGTATTTTTCTACTATTTAATTTTATTAAACCATAGGCCAGTAACCATAAATAGGTACAGTTTGTATATTAAACAACAACAACAAAAAAACTTTAAAATCTAAAGAATTTATATCTTACTGTAAAGTTCCTAAGATCAAAACAATATTAATAATAAATGTAAACAAGAAATCCTTACATAATTGTAGTCCATACTTGTTCCACCAAAGCCATCCTAGAAGGTGGACTCTCATCTGGCATCAGTTCCCCACAACATCGGATTAAAAGTAAACCTTGTTTCTTTGTAGAAAAATTTAGCTCCTTCACTTTCACTAGCACTCGCATAAAATCATTCCTGTATACTCTATTTTTTTGGTGTATATCTGTATTAAGATTAGCCATGAATTTTTCAAGAACTTCTTCTGAAGATAAAACAGGTGACTTTGCAGGCATTTTATTTTCAGTTGTATTTGGGGTTTTTACTAAAGTTGAATTTGTTGTTATATCTAAGGATTTATTACGAACAGTGGAAAGCGACCTGTAAGTAACGAGTATAAAAATAAAAACTATATTGTACTGAAAAAATAATATTAAGCAGGTAAAACACGAATAAAAGTGAACCTAACCTAGTCAACTGGATATTTCTACTTAAATTATGTAAACGAAGACCATTTTCATATTTTCTATTTATTACAATATTATTGCGAATAAGCGCTTTTGAATAACTTGCGATTTTAACATAATGCCTCGTTAACATTTTGTCTTTTCTTTACTAATTTAAATCAACATCAGAATCAGATTTTACACAGAACCAGAGACAATTTGTCAAATTATTTGACAGAAAATGTTGTTGTTGTTATGTACCGATTCAACTAAATTCATTAATTCCTCTTTAAATGTTTGTCGTTCATCATATAAAGAGGAATTAATAAATATAAAGGAATTAAATATACAAACAGGGTTGAGAGGAAAGGAGAATAAATACTTGTGATCCTCCTGTCCAGAATACCCGACCCCAATAACTTGAATTTAATTTGCCGGCCTTGGCAATGCTTAAGGTGATGTCCTCCTCCTGCCTTTGTCTATTTTCACCTCAGGTTTAATAGTCTAGTTTAGGTTTAGGGTCTAGGTTTAGTACTATCTCCAAACATCTGGCAATTTTTAGAAACCTGGTGTATATCACTAGGTTCTAAAAATTGGCAGATATTTTAGTGGTCTAAAACCTCTTTCCTAAGAAGAGGCCTACGGACATAGGTCCAGCATTGGACTATTAAAATTATAGAAATGAAATATACCAGGTAAACATATCAAGATACCAGGCATAGATACCTAGTATCATGATGTCTTCACATGTGCCTAGTTATGCACCTAACTTCACTACAGTTAAGTTTCAATACGTGGCGCTAGTGTCGAACCAACCGAGTGATCGCCTGTCATTGTCAAACTAAATCGTGATTCGTGGATGCGAAGTGTTTTGTGTTGTGAGTGAATGTTAAAAATTGATGTAATCTATCGTTGTCATGTGGTAAGTTCTCACACTTTCACAATTATCAGTTTAAGATTAATTTAGAAGTTAATTTAATATAATACGTCTAGTTTGATGAGTTGACTCGAGCCGCCGTTACTTGACCGCCATCGCCCAAGCTTGCTGACGGTCGGTTCGGCTCCGCCTTTGCAGTAAAACGTGACATTTATGACAATACATTTCTTATTGTGAATTAATATATGTCCTCGACAAGGGTTTAAGCTATATACCTAATTCAATTTATTGTCTTAAGTTAGGGGAATAAATATTAACCTTGTTAAAATTTGAGTCTTTAGATCCGTAACCAGTTTTCCACTAGCTAACGAAGTTAATAATGCCGACTTCCCGCCCGATGAATCACAGCAATATCTGTTGTTAAGTTCCGACCAAGCTTTTATCTTTATTTATTAAATATACTAACTAGTCCACATATCGTTACGTTTATTTTTAAATATTTTGTACAACTTTAGTTAAAAAGTTTTTGAAGTACCTATATTTACGTTAGTGTTTTAATTACAAGTATAATAATGAAATTGCAAATTGCTGTATACAGTAGGCTTATACCTTTTTGTATTTTCTCTTTCTTATTCAGTTTTTATGTTAAACAACAACCATGCAGTCTTCTTTTAGGTTTCGATAGAGTACTGTTAATTGGCATACATGGTCTCATGATAGATATGATATAATAGACTATTGTTAAAATTCTGCTGCTGATGAAGCTAAGGACTTAGATGGTGAGAAATACTCTTGACCTAAAGAATATTCCAATACCCATAAAAGTAAATATTTTCTGAGAGTTAGTAGAAAGAAAAAAAAAACCTCACACCTCACACATGGCTGGCTGATTCATAACTTGGCAGGGCTTGTACTATGGTAACTAGAATACTGATAAACATACTTAATTATTTCTAAATAAATACACATAATAGATAAATTACATTCAGACACATATCAAATAATGGTGCTCATCACACACAAATATTTGTCCTGGGTGGAAATCGAACCCACAACCTCATTCTTAGCAGTGAGGGTCACTAACTGCTAGACCAACAGGCCTGTCAAGTCAATCATCCAACCATAGGAAAATATGAGATGACCATGGTTGACAAGTACTTTTCATGCATGCATGCCAACTCACACGCATCATCATCAGCAGCCTTTAATAGTCCATTGCTGCATTCTCCTGCAAGGAGGTTTAGAAAAATAACTGAGAAAATTGTGATATTTTAAAATACCCAACAACCTTATTTGTATATATCTGAACTATTCTAAATATGAAACAACAGTTCATTCAGACCTCTATAAGACAGACCAGAAAGTTTACACTGTCAATAAGTACTAGAGCAAATAATAATGTTGTTCTATTTAATTTTAATTAATAGTCATTGATAGATAAATTGATTCTCTAACAAATATATATCCACTTATTACACTGTTACAGTAAATTCAATATAAATATTTGTAACCGTTTTCTCACTTTTGTTTTAATTTCATTTGGGGTTGGAATTATCTTTAATATTGCAAATGGTTTAAATCTTAGTTCTTTTATGGCTTGATATGATATTGACCCTCCTTACGAATATAAGCATTTTAAGATAGAACCCAAGAAGATAAAACTTGCTTGTTGAAACAGGATTGAGAGTACAGTCAAAACTCCGAAGTAATAATGATAAAAATAAAACTCACACATCTCACACAAGGCCGTCTGATCCCAAACTAGGCAGCGCCTGTGATATGATAACCAGACTGTTGATAAACAGACTTATATATTTTTAAATACATGCATATTATAGATAAATTACACCCAGACAGAACAAATGATCATGCTCATCACACAATATCTGTCCTGGGTGGGAATCGAACCCACAACCTCTGGCAGTAGGGTCTGGGGCAGTCAGGGTCACTAACCACTAGACCAACAGGCCAGTCAAAAGTCATTCGCCTATCTGTTCTGTGATTAAGTAGCTTAAAACTTGTAAACATGTTGCCAGGAATACAGCAAAAGACATGGTAACTTTAATCTAGTAATAAAAATAAAAAAACTGTAGGACAGAAAAAATCTGTTCTGTGAACAGGACCAATAGTAGTATTAATTAAAACTGCAAAGGCAAATAGTTATAGCAAACAATATTAGCTCTATTATTTATAATTTTAACACCTCTTCCACTCATATTAACAGGTCCTAAAAGTAAAAAACAATTTTATTATGTAATTAAAGAGATCACTTATAGAATATGAAAATAGCATTTAGAATGGTTAAAGATTTAAGTTAAAGACTATTGTATAATAGGAAGTCTTTGGAGACTTTAGACAGCTTTAAGATAAAAATAGATTTTATAACCTGCGTTCCCAACTTTTTCTAAAAAAATATAATAATAACCTGAATAATAATAATAAAAATAACAAAGAATAGTTAAAAGATATTACAATAAAAAAATAAGATAGTTAAAGATATAAACTATAGCATGTATTGTAAGTCTACATTTTCAGATGAGATGAGGGAACTTTAACAACAAGCGAAGCGATCTTCTGCGTTGGTATTTCGATTCACCAGGTCGAAATACAAGATGGGTCGACATACTTATATGATTGCCACTTCGAAGTGTTTTGATTCCAATATCCACACGAATATTATAAGTGTGTCTCTCTGTCTGTTACCTTTTAAACCACTTAACCAATTTAGATAAAAATTTTAATGGAGATAGTTCGAGCCCCAGGAAAGGACATAGGATAGTTTTTATCCCAAAAATCATCTGCGGGAAGTTCGTATTGGAAATTAATAACTGCTGCACCGATTTAAATGAAATTTGGTATGGAGATAGGACAATCGCTACTTTTTACCGTGATACATGCGGGCGGAGCCGCGGGCAAAAGCTAGTAAGTACCTAATAAATCATATCATTGGTTGTAGTTCTATACATACGCATTGTATGAAAGTTCGCCTGATACCACCACATTAATCGATGTCATTCTGCCGAATCGACAAATCGGTATTCGACATTCGATACTATGCGTCCCTAACCCAGGGTCAATGAAGTGCGAATTGACGTCAATTAACAAGCCACGTTCACTGTAACCACTCAACAGTTCAATTTACTTGAAAAAACGTTTGGTATGGGTATTTAAGAAAAATTGAAAATATCTGAAACTAATTGAAATTTAAATTGTTGCAAATAATAAAAAAAAACATCAAATTTGATCGTCCCGTATCGACCCGTCTTGGTCTGGTTCCACAATTAAAAAAATGTGAGTGTGGGTGGAATGCTGTAGGAAACCTGCTGGTTGTTTGTTAATAGTGTTTTTTTTTCGAACAATAAATTTATATTGCTTAGTCTTTGGGACTATCTTTTCGCTAAACCTTTTAGGAATCGCTGAATATTGAAATATCGAATATTTAAAACATGTTTTAACAGTTTATTAAACGAACATTATGTGTGTTTTTAATAGGACTATTTTTTTATTCATACTGGTAAAAGAGGCTGTAACGAAAGAAATAATTTGGTATATCGCGAGGGTGTAATATCCGACACATAGCTGTCATTACTTTTTAAACAAGTTTCTGTCGCTGTTTCAATCAATATTATAAAATTGATCAAAGGTGTGTAACTATAAGACGTATAATTTGATTATGCGGTAAAAAAAAAACATCATCAATCACTAATGTTTATTGTGGTGGTAACTTTATAAGGTGCGAACCTTACCATTTGGCAGATTTGGTCTATTGTAGGGAATCAGATATCTAAGTACACTCGAGTCCTCTAGGTCCGTGCCTATCCACTCGTGTCGTTTTTTTTTATAAAATTCTTTTTTCACAAATAACAATTTATTGGACAATGGTGCTAACGCTGTGGTTCGAAAACTCTCTAAACTAAACTAAAAATCACTAAACATTTGTTTAGGGTTGTCAAATAACGTTTCGTATTCTGAAAATGTAGTACTTACTTGACGGGACTAAACTAATGGCGGCCTTAATGCCACAGGCATTTTTTCCCAGTCAAACTTTGGGTGGTGTGGAAATGGGGGTTACTTATTATAAAATTGATAAACAAAAAAAATATAATCACGAATACACATAATATTTTATTTAACTTCAATTTTTCTGATTCAATTTCTTTCCTGATTCAATTTATATAATTCGTGAATTAATTACCCACGAAAGCAAAAACAAAATCCTCGAACAAGTAAAATCTCACTAAGAACAAGTTCAATAACCTACAAAAGCTACCCAATTA